TATTGGTTTCATGTTTAGTTTGTACAGTGGTGTATAGCTGGTTTGTTTGAAGCCTAAAGCCATGGAACATTCTTCAAATAGCCTGCCAGCTACCACTAATGGTATTCAGTCTAATTCATCTGAATGTAGGTAACACCACTGAAGCTTTAAAAGTAGGGTCAGCTTAGTTAAACCCTTTGCAACACACACACAGAAACACACCTGTACACACACCTCACATATACATCGATAATAATTAAGGAATCAACAATCGATCACAACCTTAATTAAGACCATCCTTATTGCAGACCTATTTTATTAGACCGTATTAGTTTCAGCCAGATGTACCAAATAAATTGGCAACGGAGAGCATGAGTTTCACTAAGTACTTCTGCATGGCTTGGATGAATGGATCTACTAAATCACATGCTTTTGCCAAATGGCATTAAACGGATATTAAACAAAAGTAAATTAAGGACAGATGATTTCTGGGGAGTTATTTTTACGAAAAATACCCCACAAAGGAATCAAAGTCTGGCCCTGTGTTGCACAAACGTACAACTTCAGAACAGAATGTTTAGAGTGACTTATAATTTCAGTGTTTGCCTTTCTGTTTGGTTCTAAACTGACGGTAAGGTATGACTGTAGTCCCAGTGAATACAGCCAGTGTGTGGAAACCATGGAAACGGTGACAAGAAGCCCCTGCTGGACACAGAGGTACGCTCTATAGCGTCAAATTCAAATATGACATCATCATCCATGGTGTGATGGAACACACACTCAAGGTGCTTCAGAAAACTGTGAGTCATTTCCACTCTCTGAGCCTGAGGGAGAGACTAAAAGAGGAAGGTGTTGTTACCAGGACCTGACGTTGGCATGTGGAAATGCAGCCCGCTCAGACACCGAGTCTGTCTTCCCCACAGATCCTAAAGTTGGAAACTTCCCTGTTGACGTGCTTCTGAAGGCTTGTGTCACACACTAACTATGAAAAGGTCCTAACGTGATGAGGCTATAACCAGCAGGTAGTAACCTGTGTAAATATGGACGGGGAAAAGAGGCCGGCCTTGACCTGCAAATGCTGTGGAAGTCATGTGACCTCAGATGTCATGATGACCTGAGCAATGTCCATTCATCCCATTGATCTCTTTGTAAGGCAGGAAGTGCTGAGGATTATCATAATGTGGAAAAACATTAAATAAAACCAATGAAACAGAGCAGAGCCTTATTGTATTCTTTGATACTGCGACAGCAACAGAGACAGATGCCAGCATTCACTCCTGTCCTGATCCTGCTGAGGCTGCTTTCAATTGACCAGAAAATGTTGGAGATTGATCATCATTTTGATCAGATGTCATTCCTGGTTTTCATTCAGTCTCAGTTCACAAGTGAATTCTTTTAATGAGAAGCTATGAAAGCGCTTCATACCTACACGCACGTTACAAACTCTCCAAAAAAGTAACGTAGACTAGACATACTGTATAAAGTAGAATAACAGAAAAACACATTCAACTGAGAATTTGCCGTTTGGATTGGAAGAACAGAAAACTTTCAAAATCAGCTCACCATGTCTACTTCATTTCAGTTTTACATGGATCAGGTGAAGTCTAATGCTGATAAAGAAGTAAACCACACACACACACACACACACACACACACACACACACACACACACACACACACACACACACACACATATATCTTTATCTTCTCAGCAACTGTGATATAGATGTAGCACAATGAGCTACACATTTTCCAGTGTGTTAAGAGGTCAGACGGTTAGCTCACACATGTGTTTAATAACACTGATGCCAACAAGTACAAAGCTGAACAGACTCCCCTGATATTGTAACACAACCACAGCTCCATTACTGATTTTAACCCACAGCGACTCTCAAAGACAAATATCCCCGTCTATACTTAGCCTTGACATATCTGAGCCTACCACACACAGGGCCATATGTTTCCCTTGGCCACAACTATCCCATCCACACATCCAGATCTGCAAAACAGTGAGTGTGCAGCCAGTCTGCCTGCTGATATTCAGCATGGGAAAGCCTGACTCTCACAGGCAAAGCTTAGTCACTCAGTCTGACAGCAGTAAACAAATAAACAAATAAATAGCATCACTACAACAACAACCAGCGGAACATCACCTAGTAGTTTCAGTTTCTGACATGTCAGGGAAGATTGACCACAAAAGAGTCTGTGGACTCTTTGTTTGAAAAAACAAAACAAATTTCACCATAATCAGTCAGATGTAAAAGCGTCTGTCTTTTACTGGAATTGTTTTACAGTAAAATCTGATTTTAGTCGTCATAAAAAGTCAATTTCCATTTTATTGTGCTGTTCTTATGAACACATTCATTTGAATTGCCCATTACTCAAAACAGTGGGATTTCACTTTCTCTGTAAATGGCCTTCATTAAGACGTTTCCCGTGACGGCAGATGAATCAGCTTGGGCAGCCTGGCAGAAGCTACTGTAAATGACTGGACACGTGACATAACAATGTCAGCTATGTGCAAGTGTTGTTTGCAGTGTGGCAAGAGCATGTTCCCCCACCAAGCTGTTTCCGTTAGATATGCTGGAACTTCTGTTTGGGCCCTGAGGCTGTGATGACAGACAGCTCACACATTTTTTCTCGACAATTCGGGGAGACGCAGAACTTCACACACCACCGCCACACTTTTGCTGACAGCTGTGGTCTGATGGTCAAGCAGGAGTTCCTACTGTACTGAACCAGCATAGAGAGAACATATCCTTATTAGGAAAGAAGAATACACCCTTATATGGGAAGCTTCCTCTGTAGTAACAGCCCAGTCTGCTGGCTTCTCGCTCACATTCCTTCTGCTCCAGGTTTCTCTGGGAGTTTTTCATTTCCGATTTGCTGGCTAGAAAAGGAGCAGGCCCGCCTTTCATAAGAGTCTAGCCTGGTGTGTGATCCCCCTTTTTTTCAGAAAAAAAAATATACACAAACCTCCGTCTAGCCTCTTTCCTGCAAACCTCCACTTTGGGTTTGATGTAGTAAAATAAGCCTTGCCAGGGACAGGTCACACCTGGCCTTTCAAGTCCATCTCAGACTAAACCTCATTAGGCAGGTGAGAAGTAGAAGAACATGTAGGTTTTTGTTCTCATCGTATCTGCTCCAGATGCTTTGATGGGTCGGGCTGCACGGTTGACAAGAGAAATCTTTGTCATCATTTATTCTCCCCAAAGCTCAGCAGAATCAAAATGTCCTGTAAGATGCGTTATAAGATATTCTGTCTTTGCCTTTGACAGAACCTTCTGAAAATCGCTTTTTTTTAAAGAGTAAAAAGGACAATAATAGCAGCCAAATAGCCAATCACAAGCAATCATTCGGAAAAGCAAAAACATTAAACTCTAGTCTGCTGGACATATCTTGGCAGAGCTGCTTGTTCAGTTCAGTAAACTCATGGGACATTCTTCCTTTCATATACTGAACATGCAAACTTATGGTGAAAAAAAAAGTGAAGCTGTACTTTAAGTTAACCTAAACAAACTTTTTCTGCAACTCAAACTACGTTTTCCAAATAATAATACAAATATAGTGCTTTTCCAGTACTATGCCGGAATTAAGTGCATGTTAATGCATTAAAGCATTGCAGCACCTTGTACTTTTTGTTTAGAATAACAGATGTTCAGTTACTAAGAAACATACTGAGAGCCCACTTGAAAACTGTTGCATGACAGAATAGCACATTTAGTTGAAATTACTGCAATTTACTGTTTCCTGAAAAATATCAGCTCATCTGAAATTAGATGGTGTGAACATGTGTCTCAAAAGTTGGGACAGTGACAACAACAGGCTGGAAAAGTTACAAAGTCACTTCATCATTATGCAGTATATCTTTAGAATCTTGCAGAGAGGTTGCAGAGGCATCTCTGCCCAAAAGACAGCAGCTGCTGGACTGGCAGTATATTGATTTAATTAATTGTTATATAACAAGCAGTTCTTAGTTAAACTGCTTACAGGACAAGCCTTTTTAGAGTATTTTTAACTAAGAGGTTAGATCTAAAGTTGCTAGGAGGGGGCAATGTACAGTTTTAATGATACCTTGTGGTGAACGTGCAGATTACAACAAACTGAATTTTCCCTCTTCCTCTCATGGTGTGTTGGAGAAACCATCATGATCCTGTAAGACTCATGTTGGATTTTGTGTTTAACCACAGCAACTTCATGGAAGGTTTAAAGGAAAACCCATTTGTAGCTACAACAATGAATCTTCTTGTCATGGAATATAACTCCGATGCAAACATAGCTATGAGCATCATACCACATGTCTGATCCTTAAGTAAAATAGCTAAAAAGCTCTACGTCTTAAAAAAAAGGAAAAAGGAACGATAGTCAAGAGAAAATAATGAAAATATCCATTGCTGCTCAATTAGATGCATTTTTGCTTAAAATGATTCACTCATGTTAAAGTGATCATAATGTTCTCGTAATGTGTTTAAATGAAGGAAAGTCAGTGCAGAAAAATGCAACCGCAGTTTCCCAGACCTAACCACATGAGAACAGAATACAAAGTTACAAGACAACAGTTGCCAAGTCTTAGTGCTGGAAGGAGCACCTTGATAGATAACCAGGCTCAAGTTAATGAGTCTAATCATTTCCTTTCCCTAACCGCACACTGTTAATTTTACTAAAGTACATACTGTCTGTGCACCTTTGAAGCCAGGACTGTGGAATGCTGTTGTGGGCTTAAAGTCTTAACCACCTGCTACACATCAATCCGTTTATTTTATGATTGTATGCATTTTAATGAGCTTCTGCGTGTTGATTTTCCTCTTTGATATTTTGTTATGTGGCTTCACTTTTAAACCATGCTGCCTTTTCCTTTTGGCTCATTCTTTTTTTTTAATTTATTATTTATAGGTACTGACTGTCTGTTTGTGAAGTCAGTCTTCAGGAATTCCCAGTGTGGGGTCCCAGGCTTCTAACCAGACTTAACCTCTCATTCCAGATGAAAGCTGCTCTGAGAGAGAGACGGTGTTGTTTGGCCGAGCAGCAGAGCCTTGCCTTCAGACAGCAGGAATGCGGGATGTCTGGAGTGGGGGTCAGGAAGCGAGGAAAGAATGCCAAGTATGTCCATGTTTGTCCAGGGCTGGCTCTCCATTCAGCCCCCAGTGACGTGCTGCGAGGACCAGCGAGTATAAAAGCAGCTCGACTCTGCAGTCAGAACTCAGATCAGCTCCTCTACCGAAGCTAAACTCTAGCTTTCACCAAGAAAGGAAAGACAGACTGTGACTGGAGCAGCAGATTAAGACTTGAAGGCGTCCGAGACAAGAGATCAACTTGATCAGAAGAGTTCTGAAACTCAAACTAACGGAAGACTTTCTGCTCGACGGTTTTTGGAAGAATCTGAACTGAATACTACAAACTAGAAAAGATGTTTGCTGGAACGAAGAAGATGATCTTGCTGCCTTTGCTGTGTGTCATGCTGTCATACATGGTAAGCCAAAAAGATTTCATTTTCATGTCTGGATTTAGTAGGAAATACTCTCAGTCTTTATGCTCATCAGTACATTAGTATATGGCGAATATTGCCGGGTGTATATCTGTGTCTGTGGTAGATTGTGTGTTCATTATATTTACCTGCACATGTGTATGTGTGTGCCTCTGTTTTTAGGCTGCGGGTCAGGAGTGCAGCGGCCAGTGTTCGTGCCCCTCCACCCCCCCCCAGTGCCCGGCAGGAGTGAGCCTGGTGCTGGACGGCTGTGGGTGCTGCAGGGTGTGCGCCAAACAAATGGGGGAGCTCTGCACTGAGAAGGATGTTTGTGACCCACACAAAAACCTCTTCTGTGATTTTGGATCACCCATCAACAGACGCATAGGCGTGTGCTCAGGTGAGCCCCTGACAGCAGACAGTTTCCACCTGCACATCTGCACACCGATGCACTTCTGAGCCAAAGTGTAACCTCCAAACTGTAATATGCATCCCACAGCTCAAGAAGGAGCCACCTGTGTGTTTGGAGGCAAAGTGTACAAGAGTGGAGAGACGTTCCAGAGCAGCTGCAAGTACCAGTGTACCTGTCTGGATGGGGCTGTGGGCTGTGTCCCACTTTGCTCCATGGACATCCGACTGCCGAGCCCAGACTGCCCAATGCCAAGACGGGTCAAAGTGCCCGGGAAGTGCTGCGAGGAGTGGGAGTGTGATTCTCCCTACAAAAACACCTTTGTGGGCTCTGCATTGCCAGGTGAGTGTGCCTCTCTTGTCAGTAAAAGAGACAAAAATGAAATTGTTCATACAAAAATGAAATGCAAACAGCAAGTTTAACTCATCACGTGAACCCCTCTGTGTTTAAAGCATTCAGGCAAGAGGAGATCTACGGCCCCGATCCAAACATGATGAGAGAGAATTGCCTGGTTCAGACTACTGAATGGAGCGCCTGCTCTAAGACCTGTGGCCTTGGAATATCTACAAGGGTCACCAATGACAACCGCGACTGCCGCCTAGAGAAACAGACCCGGTTTTGTATGGTGCGCCCATGCGAGTCACAGCTGGAGCAAAGCATTAGGGTGAGTTCTTATACATCATCATCGCTCAAAAACCACCAAAATAGAGTAAATGCACGAACATACGAAAGAATACATGCTAAAGTCATTGTTTTTTCCATCACCACAGAAAGGCAAAAAGTGCATCCGTACCCCAAGAGTCTCCAAGCCCATGAAGTTTGAGATCTCTGGCTGCACCACCACAAAGTCCTACAGGCCAAAGTTCTGCGGCGTCTGCCTGGACGGCCGCTGCTGCACCCCCCACAGGACCACCACCCTGCCCATGGAGTTCAAATGCCCCGATGGGCAGGTCATGAAGAAGTACATGATGTTCATCAAGTCCTGTGCCTGCCATTACAACTGCCCCGGAGAGAACGACATCTTCGAGTCCATGTATTACAAGAAGATGACAGGTGACATGGCCTAAGGCACTGAGGAACAATCAGATCTTATGACTTGAAAAGAACAAAACAGAACTCCATCTCAATTTGCAGCTCAATATAAGTATACAGATATATATGTATTTACGTTTCTCATTTTTGTAATGTAAAAGTAGCCCAGGCACTTGTCTTAGTGTCTGGATTTGTTTGCGAGGCTGATGCACGTCAGCCACATAGACTCAGACAGAGGGTTGCTTTGCAGCCCCAAGAGATTCCTGCACTATAACTTTTTTTTTTTTTTATCATGACAAACCTACTGTCAGGTTTCCGCCCGTTCCCCTTTCCAAACCCATACTTTTCACTGTACGAATCTTTACGCCATATCTAAACGCTGACCTCTCAAAATGAGGTGTCTAATTAATCCCTCCACCCTGAGTCCGAGACCAGACCTGTAAACTCGAAGCAGCTGTAAAAAGGGAGCAGGCAGACCACAGCCAGTCAGTGTTTTACTGTCCAAATGGGTCTCAATGTGTCCTTGTGTTTGTGTACGTGCGTGTGTGTTAGAGTGAGAGCACGGGCCTGAATGTTGGCCTTGTCTGTGTGTACGCTGTCCACTCCACTTAGAGTGGAGGAAAGGTCAGAGTTTCCGCCCAACATGTGGATGAGAAAGAGAGCAGCACGCAGAGTTTAGGGTTAGATATGGAACACTGTGGGCTTTGCCTTGGCACTGAAAAAGAGAAGAAAAAAAAAACATGTGTTGACTATTTCCAAATCAGGTCAGAGAGGAAAAAAGAAACAAACATCTATTTTGTACAAAAATAGAAGAACAGACTGGAGGAATTGTAATTTTTCATTCCTTTTATATTGTTGATATGTAAATTGTGTATATATTTGTACAGCTTAAATTAATTTAAAAAGCAAAAAATTGTTCTGTGCTTCAAAATGCATTAATAGTGATTATTTCTTTGTCAATGGTATTTTTTACTATTTTATTGAGAAGTGTGACTAAAAATGTTACATGTTTCAGTTTGTAGCTGGAAATAAAGTCTTATATTTTTATACAAATGGATTTTCAAGCTGTTTTTTGTCCTGCTGTTGATTAACTGAGGAAATATAATGACCCATACCTACTTACAACTAAGTATACAGTATATGTACACTCCACCATCCAACAAGTTGTACTAAATCTGAATGGTTGTCACAAAGGATCAGCTTGGCTCATTTACCAACAGTAACATCATCATACAGTCAATTTGTTAAGGATAAGCTAGCTTTAAAATCTTTCCAATGAACTATGCTTGATCAAGTTTACTTCATTATAGGTGTTTCTGCATAGGGTTTATGTGATATGATTCGATGAAATGCAACTGCCAACAGCTCACAAGACCTAGTGTAAGCAAAGACATTTTACAGTCTCACAACGGTTTTGGCCAAAGACATTTTTGGAAAAAACAGAACCTTGGTTGCAAAGAACAAAACGTTCTACCTCAACTTTGGAGGTGGCTCCCTGTCAGAGTTCCCTTTTAAAAAGCAGCTAAGATGGTCTAATTCTGCCATCTAGTGGCGTTTCTATTTGATTAACATTAGTGTATAACTCACACTATCAATGGAAAACAGGCCCTGTATATTCAAGTGCAAAGTGCACATCTGTGTTTGATATGTGACAACAAATAAGTTAGATCTAGAAAGCATTATATGCCCATTTGATATAGTTGGTTTGTTTCCTTATTAAAAAGGCAGAAAGCTTTCACAAAGCTCAAATATGAAATAAACTAAACACAATGAAACATCTATTTCATAGAAGCATCCAGGGTTTATGTGATTTTTGTCAGTGAATCTAAGATATCTGCGGATGTCCAACATTTTCCAGCTAGTTTTACTGGTTGAAATCTTTACAGTGTCTGCCTCTTGTTCTGTTTCTGTGTAATGAACACACAGATTCAGTCTTCAATTTTTAACCAGTCTCTGACCGTTTCCATAGTCACTATATTCCCCTGAGGTGCCAAATTAAGCTGAACTTTTGCTCTTGAGAATCTTCTCTGCCCACACTGTCGTGACAAAACATAAACTGTCAACACTGGGTTTTTCTGATTTAAAACTGGTGCTTGACCCTTGAAAAAAAAGATCCTTTTACTGTTGATTCTAAAAACTACAATATGAGGGTTGTTTTGGAGTGGAATAGGCTGTGTCAACAGCATATGCGTCATGCCAGTGAATCATAGCCTGAGCCTTCTCGCCTACAAACAAGTGCAAACTGCATCTACACTTTAGAAGTGCACAAATTATGTGTTTTAGCAGAAAGACACTAGTTTCAATCTGGTTGGAGTGAGTGTGTCCATACGGAAAACTCTACAGGTTTAGGTACTCATTAAGATACTGCACTTTGTTAGTAGGATGAGTTTATTACAAACATAACTTGATTAGGAGGTTTTAAAATGATTTACCAAGAAAAAGGTTCTTAGACACAATGTGTTTATTTTCTTACATAAGTTCAGTAAGTTTAAGATCACAACCCAGTCTTTAATTTGTTAAAAATGTTCATTTATTGCCTTAGGTTGATTGGACTTTATTGGATAAGTATCTACTTCTTTTTCTTTGACTTTTTGAGTGAGTTTTGCAGAAAGAGCTTTCTACACGTTTACATGCGGTTACTGTACAACCCCACCCCGAGTATATATCTGGATTGGCCTCAACCCTTCACTCAAATAAATGTTCTGTTAAAATAATCTGACAAACCATGATACATGTGCAAAAAATGGAGAGATGATTGTCAGACAAAAATACATTTCGCATTAAGCAATCTGCATGTGTGTTCTGAATGCATGTGAATGCACAGCACCCGAGTGCATTTGTACGGTGTTACTATGCGAGTCTAGCTGCAATCTAACATATTCTACTCTACGTGGGGGAAAGAATGTCACAATTGAGATCGCAGCATTGTGGCATCCTCAAGAGAAACAGCGAAAGATTAAACCTTGTCACACAATCTATCTGTGGAAACCAGGATTCTGGTAAAGCAGAGGGGGACGAGAAGGACGAGGAGGCAGAAAAGGCTGCAATGTCAGACTCATGTCAGTCAGTCTCTCTCTCTCTCTCTCTCTCTCTCTCTCTCTCTCTCTCTCTCTCTCTCTCTCTCAGCCTCGCCGCAGTTCATGGAGTTTCTGGGCAACATTTTCCAGCTCCGACTCGATGGCTGCCAGGCTTTCAATTTCAGGCTCCTGCAGATATAATGAGAAAACAGTATGTCAAGAATTAGACACTAGCAGTGCTAACAACCTCATGCACGGTGTGTGCTGCCCCCGTACACTTCTGCCTAAGCCATTTCCAGAGCAGCATTATGTTCGGAACAGCTTGTTTCGACCTAATGTCTGTATGGACTGCATACAATTTTAATGTACACAGTTCTTGTGTATCTAGGGAAACAATAACGTATGGGACCTCAGGATCATGAAAAAACACAAACACACAGAAACAAATGAAGCACACCTCTGGCTTTCTACTGGCACTTCCCTCTTCCTCCATCACCGTCCTCTCCCCTGGTGCTCGACGAGCAATCATCTGCAGCTCATTTTCCTCTGGACTTCGCAGGACAACTCGTTTCTTTTTCTTCCTCTCCTCCTTTCCCTCTACGGCCTCTTTTGAATGATGAGGCACTTCGTGTGAGCTGCTAAGCTGTCGTGCCTCCTTTTCAACCCCTTTCTTCTTCAATTGCAGCGTCTGGGCCTTCTTGGCCCAGCGCTTCAGGCCCTCCCTGCTCCCTCTTTTCATCCCATCTTCCTCTTCATTTGCCTTGATGCCCTCGTGTTTCGGGGAGAAGTGAGCCGCTCTTTTGTTGTCCTCCTCTTCATCGGACTTCTTCTGTTTTGAATATTTTATGGAAGCGTCTCTCTCTTCATCGGGCTCATCACCTTTAAAAGTAAAAAAAAAAAAAAAGGAAAAGAATAAGTCCAGACCAGGGGCAGAAAAGACTCCACCATCAGCAGGATTCCACTTCTTGTAATGAAGTATTTCCAGCCAGCTGGCAGCGTTGGCCCCAGTAGTGCTAGCTGTGCTTTGTGGGAATCAGCAGCATAACTGGAGCAATCAGATGACTTGGCTAAGGCTTTTTGATAGAAAATAAAGCTTAGCTGTGCGTATTTCATTGTACTCAGAAGCTTCTGAAAAGAGGAACTGCATCTTTACAGCAGTTTTCATGTGGTCTTTGGACATAGTTTGATTTCCTGCCACAACCATATGCATCTGCTTATTGAGATTCCAGGCTGAGCAGGTACTTAATCACTTGTGTTAGTGACCTGTCAGTATGCCAGCTAAATTGGCTACATTCCCCCTCTGGAGAGGGAAGAAATTCATCACATAGATGGAAGTACTTCCATCAATCAGCCAGTTGCGTGGTGGCAGGTGATTCCATTTACAAGGTAGTTTTTTATGTGCTCTCCCCGTCTAAAGAATCGGCTGTCGACTTTTAGTGAGTGTTTTATCTGTAAAATTGAAAAGATGTCCCCTTATTTTTTGTTAGTTAAAATAAATCAGACCAGAGTGGGTGCTAAACATGTCATGGTCAGCATTTTAGCTTGCATATTTCATTCCGTCTACTTGTGTTGTGAAATTTCACACTGATGCACTTCAATCACAGACATAAATGTTAGCTTGCCTTTCTTATCCACGGTCTCGTTTTCCTCTGAGCTCTCCTCTGAGTTTGGTCGTCTCATGTTGTATTCCTCTTCCTCTGAGCCCTTGTCTGTCGTTTCGGCCTCACCCTGGCCCTCATCTTTTCCCCTCTTCACTTGCTCCTCTTCAGCCTCGCCGTCGCCCTGTGACTCTCCATCTTCCCTGCTCTCCCCGTTCTCTTGTCTTCTGCCACTGTCTCCGGTCCTCTTCGTCTCAGAGAGAATGGATCTTTCACCAGCGCCTCCCAAAGCCTCCAACATGGATCGATCTGAACGTAGAGAGGGGCTGCAATTTAATTTACTCACAGGCATTGATTTTCCACTTATTTTAAAAGACAGTGCTTATAAGAAAGCAACACAGTTTATTACAGGGTCCTCGCTGTGTCATAACAATCAAACTTATGTGTTGTTGTTTTTTTGGGCTAGTGGAGAGAGTCAGAGGAAAACGTAGAACTCTGATACAGACTTTTGACAGTTGGTGCATTTCAACACATCGACTGGATATGAGTTCATCATTTATTCAAGTTTGTGAGGAGACTCACCGGCGTTATCGTCTGCACTGTGAGGGGATTGTGTGGTGGGTGCTGGAGTCTCATCGTGTCTCTGCAGCTGAGCTCGTTCTTGACCCCCTTCAATTGAAAATGAGCTGCTCAGCTTTCTGTTCACTCCGCTGTCTTCATCGGTGTGTACAGCCATGCACGTTCAGCACACAAACAAGCCACTCTGAGTAATTGTTGACTCACCTTGAGCAGCTATCTCCTGCAGCTCCCTCAGAAAGTGATGGTGACGGAGGATGGTGATGAGCCTGTCATCTGCACAAACGCACAAACACGTGTTGAAATGCAAGCGGCTGGTGGCTCACACACCGATGATGAAAGGCTGTGAAGCAGTCCTGCAGGGGTTTCGCCGCCGCTGTACGCCGTTCCCCCGTCACTTTTTTCAGAGGACTCAGCGTTTTGCTTCATCAGAGTTAATTGCGCTAGAATTTACTGCTTTCAAAGCAAGAGCGAAATTAATCATCTGGCTCATGGAGGCACCCCCCAGTGAGCAGTGGACATTCTGCTGACCCACAAACAGCATCGCTTACCGTAGGAGCAGTGGTAAAAAATGCCCGCTTGTACTATTCTGTGCCCTCACATGACTCTGTGATTTCGGTCTTCTGTTTTACTGACCCTCTCTTTTATTTCCGTCCATCTGAGAGTGTCCAGTTTCCCTCTTTCTCCGACGACGACCGCTCAGAGGCTAACTGAAATAACTCTGCACTGATTGATTTCCTTTCCTTTCCTTTTCTGTTTTTTTTTTTATTGCAAGGACGGGATCAAGGTAAAATGCTGGCCATGTAACTGAATAGTCTTCACTAAGTGCTACCCAGCCTGCTGTGGATAATACTCTGCACCAGGTTTTTTATCTAGCCGTCACTGCACCAATCCATTAACCTTGTGATGTGAGCATTAGGTACTCTTTTAATGACAGCATGTAAAGGGTCTCTTTTCCAAACACAGGGTCCATTCTAAATTCCACTCCAGCATAACAGTGACAGCACTCAGAAAGATAATTATGGCTTTGCAGTGGTGTCTCTATTATTATTCCCACCCCCAAAAACTTGACTGAATTTTGACACTTGCCGAGCATTAATGCTATTTATAAAAAGCAAAACGCAGTAATAAGGTGAAGGGCTTTTAGCTTTATGAAAAAATAATCCTTTGGGAGCAAGAATGTGGAAACAGCAGGTAGAATTGGCTGCTTCTATCGTCAGAATATATACAAACACTAGTGAAATCGGCCAAATGCAATGCCGTTAATATCATCACAGTTGAAATGTCTATAGATTTTTCCTTTTCACTACACAGTAGCATAAATATTTTCCTTCTATTGCAGGCATTATAGGAGCAGAGTTCCAGATTAATTTACTTATGACTGTTTTTGCACAAAAGCCTCTATAAAAGGCTTCCATATGCCAAAAGTAAATAAGCCAAGGAGAGCAGAATTTTGCGAGGTCTAAAATAATATTTTAGACAGAGAGCAATGTGGCAAACAAGACTGACTATTGTGGATTTGGAACGCTCAGCAAACATCACACATAGACACATTCCTAAGGCATTATACATCATTCTACAACAATGTCACGATGTTTAAATCATGCATGACAACAAGGTTTATAGGTGGCAGTCTGGATGTTTAACTAAATGAATGCAGTAGGCATCATGCATCTCTCTTAGTCAGGGTGGTGACAGTGTTTTATATCAGCGGACCTTGTAGAATTGCCCTTTAGTTCTTACCTGATTTCAATGTGACCAAGCACTCCTGACTGATAGGCACGAGGTGTGGCCTAGATAACACATCTGCCAACGCCTCCACAATGCATTTCATCACCTGAAGAGACAGACAATGCAGAGAAAAGCTAAAAACCCTTTACAGTACCATTCTGAAATTTTCCACACCAGAGCTTAAATTATGGGAAATGGGAAGAATCCCATTATTTCAATGGGTGGAGTCTAGCACCCAACTTCTTTGGTTGCAGCTCACTGGATTAGCAAAAATAATTAAAATATGCGAAACTCTGGGAATAAGAGATGAAAATAGTTCTGTTTCTTTTGTGCTTTCAGTGCAAGCAAATTCCACATGCTTGCAGGTTTTTCACTCTTGTTAAACAAGTGTTCTGATATCTGCTTGCCAGAGCTTTGAAGAGCTCATTCCTCTGCCTTTAACAGCTACATCTCCATTCTGTGTCTAAGTCTCTTTCTGTGAAATGGATCCTGCGGCGCCAAACAGCAGAGGTCAAGGCGCTCCAGTGATCTCAAATTGGTGCATATTGATTCAAACAAAGTCAAACTGAGACAAGCCCCCACTCCAACAGAGAAAGTGCTTAAAAGAACATTGTAAGGATAGGTTCCTTTCTAATGACAGCTTTTCTTTGAGATGCAAATAGTAGAAAATCTGTAAATGCATCTAATCTGCCAAGTTTATAACAGATATGAAACAGAAGCAGCTTGTCTTGTGTTGAGAGCTGTGTCTTCTACAGTGATGTCAATAAGAGAAAATCATACCTCCACGTCTTCATTCTCCAGCTGACTTGAAGTCACTGGCAATGAAAGAACTGTAAAAAAAATAAAATAATAATAATTAAGATAAGAGGCATGTGAATTCAAACTAAATTGGCTGTTGCTTTATAATCCCGCCAGAGATGGATTTTTTTCCCCCTTCCCACATTTGCTGTGTGGCTAAAAGGGACCGAATGTGCCAGAGGTGCAGGTGGATTCACTCCGTTCTTTCCCGGAATGAAAGACGTGCGTGTCGCTGTCCTTGGTGCTGAACATTCGCAGTCACTTTTCTCGATGCAGATCCCCCCCCCCCCCATCATCATCATCATCATCATCACACTGTCAATGCCGTGAAAAGCGCCAAACTTTATCAAAGATGTATCCTTCTCTTACCGCAGCTGGACACAACAGTCAGGAGGAGCAGTTCTACCCCGATCATCTTGAAAGCGATGCGAATCAAATCGAGCTCTCCAGGAAATAAAACAAAAATAGCCAAGGTTTTCTCAGAGTGTCGAATTTCTTCCCCCTTTGGAAGACAGATCGGTGGATTATTGGCGCATTCTGAAGAAAAACTTCGCCGCCTTTCGGTATTTCTGGAGAGCTAAATCTTCTGCTGCATCGGTGGACTGGCAGCCCCGGTCTCTCTGCCGGGACCTGAACGCAACAGAGGCGCTTTCATAGGGCTGGGGATGGGGATGTGGGTGTGGGGAGGAAATGACATCATCCATGGACAAACGACAGCCACTATACCTGATCGTACCTTGATGTTTGTCAGGGTGTGCTCACCGTTCCAGGGGCTCAGGTGAGGAGGGGGCCTGGCTCCATTTACAGGTTATTTGCACATCATTGTGTCAAGATTTTTGTCTGAGTGTTTTGTTACAACAAAAAGGAACCCTTGACAACATTTGGTGATAAATGTGATGCATATGACATTAAAATATAAAAGGAGCAGTCACGTGAAAAAAAAAGGGATTTGTACGTTTTTATCAGGGTTTCAGATTAGAAAAAGAGGGAGAAACAAGTAAAAAAAGAGAAGGAAATTTCTATAGTTTGGAGTATTTTTTCTGCCTCCACTTGCAATTCTGAATCGAATCAAAAAGCTTTTGAATATATTGTGAAGCTATCTGTCTGAAAGTTGGGAAAAAACAAAAGTTTGATAGTCCTAACAGTAACACATTTATGTATGACAAGTCCAGGGCAACATGAGAAGGACAAACATGAGAGCCAAAGCTCATTGGAATATCAGAAAGAGTTGTAATTGATTTAGTCTGTAAGCTAATCTCCATAAAAGTGGAGCCAAAGACATTTGAAGATACTGCAATATGCCTTCAAAGCATCATCACTCCCCATTCAAAGCAATGCTGGCGCTTATGGACAAAGGTGCACATCATTTTTCCAGATATTTGACATCTATTTGTATTTTTCTACAAACATCCTTTGGTCCACATCACTGTGTGTATCACAGGAAAATGGATTCACAACAAAGGGGCTAGACAGTGAACAAACACACAGATTGCATCTTTGTCTCCAACATGACGGGTTTCCATGCATGAAAAAGCTGTGTCATCGTACTATATCTTCAGATGGTTCTCATGTGTTGCTAAGCAACAACTCTTTGAAGAATTAGTCTTGTGATTGTCATAAGAGACCATTTTTTCATGTAAGTAGGTTGCCTTAAAACTAATGCGTAAAAAGGTTTTGAGGATGATGACATGGGACCCAGATTTTGTCTGCTTAATGTAAGATGGATTAAACACAAATCAGAAATACTGAGCTGATAAATAGCTTCTACTGAGCTCATATGACATATTTTCAAAAAGCCTTATTGCAAAGCAAAACTAGTATCATTATAAAGTATTTGACTTTTTATCTTCCCAACCTGCAGGCCTCACTTTTCAGTGATTCAGCTGAATACAGGTAAATACGTCGGGGAAGAATGACCTAAAATGTGGTGCAGATATTTAATTTTGTGGGATTGATTGAACGTGAGCTGTTAAACCCAATTGTGTGACCCAGTGAACATTGTTTGTTTATCATTTTGATCCCTTTCATGGGCCAAAAGATGTGAACAAATGTTTTAATCATCCTTTGTTTAACAAGTTGTGTTTATGTCCTGATCATGACCATAGTAAATTAATCAATATAAATATTTTATCTGAATTAGGTCTAACAGTAAATCACATAAGGGCTTTATTTTTAAGGGGCAGATGTATCAACTGTGGACCATTCTACAATTGTTTGTCCTCTTATACCTTTACCAGCACTTACTCACAGGTGTACAAGGGATTATGAGGCAATTGTATCTTTTGTTAGCAATGCATTCATTAAAATAAATTACAAAGAGGTTTCCAAAGTAAGAGGTGGCCTGTTTTGCCGCTTTCGTCTTTCGCCCTGCACCATCCATTGAGATCCCAGAGATCTCATTATGCTTTCAGAGAGACTATAAAGACCTATCTGCGTCAGAGATGGATTCATATTGTTCTGCACAAACCAGGCGACGGCTTTGTTTGAACATGAGGGTTTTCTTTGAAAGCGATAAGTGTTTTATGAAATTTGACAGCCACAGGGACTGATTGAAATTTACCCTGCTGGAACATCCAAAAAGGATGGAAGAAAATGTGAACACGGGAGGCATGTGTTCTAGTGTCTCCAGCGTGTTGAGCGATAACTAAAAAAGTTATGAGTTGATGGGAAAGGCTATAAACTCAATCTGGGTTTACAACATCTAAACTTTAAAATCATGTTTAAGGACGTGTTTTCTTTGAGGCAAACTATCCCATTCTTGTCTTTCCATTTTAGCTCAGCCACACTGAAAGCCCCATGTATGTTTTCTTCTACATTCAAAAGCTGATGTACAGTTTCAGAGCCATGTAACATGAGATAAGCTTTAAATAGCTTCCACCTGCCTTAACAATCATACCCATTAAGCAAAATTAGTACATAATGCACTGTGCACTATGTTTACCAAGAAAGAAAATGAATACAACTCTTATGTCATCGATCATTAAATGCCACACCTATCTAAGTCGAGTATACAGTATAACGTGTGTACATACTTAGTGGTTCATCATCTAGTAGCAGGTGCTCCCACTCAGTGTGTTTGCTCTGAGTTTAAAAAAATCAGCATGTAAGGGTACAGGTACCAGAGGGGAGGGAAGTCAAAGTGGGCCGACAGCAGCTCCAACGACCGGGGAACAGATTCGTGACTCAGAAGTCGCCTGCTTAAAAAGCCAATGCCGTCTGTGGAGATCGATGTTGGATGAGATGAGTTACAAATTTCCATATTCAAATCATTTTTACTGTGTTGATTAAGACTGTGAACCAGAGCTTCTTTGTTTGCACATGCAAAAAGCATTTTGCCATTAATTAGAAGGCACAAGATCTCACAAATTAGAATACAGAAAAGAATCAAAGACTGCGCCAGCAAGCAGAAAGAGACACTCAGCCTTAGCCTCGGGGCCAAACATTTAATTGTTTCATGATTGTACAGAGCACAGATTTGACACATTAACAAATCCGTTGTTACTTTCTGCTTTGCAAGCAACTTTGGAAAAAAGTGCAAAGCAATAAACAGAATTTATGCCGCACAAGGCTAGATTTTCATTCAAATATTCATATGTATGTAAAGCGGCGTGGATCCCAAGTTTGAGAGATGCAGAAATAATCGGTCCATTAGCATGAAGGTGTGGTGAATACAAGCTAAAGATAAGCCGTCATCTTGCAGCCAGCAATGACTGAAACTCTGCAAACCCCATTTCCACCAGCTGCTACAAACGACATACTTTGTGTCCAGCTCCTCGTCACATCATTTGCGCGTCCTCGGCTCTTTAAGCAGCAGGGAATATCTCCATGTTGCTGAACTCGGGCAACAAGCACTCAAAGTAGAGAGATGACTCACTTTTGGCCTCTGCACTGCCTGCCTCATTAAAAACCAGCGAATAACAGCGGCTGACTCCTTCATTAGAGGAGTAACGCCGAGGCTACATGCAACCGAGATGTGCCAGACCCACGTGGGGCAACAGCAGCAGGGACATGGCTGCCAGGGACTGACGGGGAGGCTGGCCTGACTTGGCAGCAATCGGGCGAGTGAAGATGTATGGGTGCTCCTGCAGGTGGGGCACATGGAGGGATTACTGACAAAAGGACTTATTTAGGACAAATCAGTTGGTATGCTTCTAATGACATTTTAAGTCGAACATTTATAAACTAATCACACAGGGGAACGTTTTGAAAAAAATGTTTTTTCTAGTGTCACAGCCTACTTATCCAATCCATAATAGAGACTCCTTCTGAATCCCCTGTCTGACATATAACATTTTCTTTACATTCTGATTGAAAGCAGTTATTTTTCAGATGCGCAAATGTAGATAAAATCCCAGCATGAGACCCATCTGTGTCTCAGCAACCCCATCTTGATAGATCTGGCTGCATGCGTATCTCTTCGTGTGAGAGCACGGCTGTACTTTACTGAGACTCACCGCAGGTGGACAGATGAGGCTGATGGGATCAGAAAAACTGTTCACAATCAGCTTTCCCCCCTCAGGCTGAAACTGTTTGCAGGATACAGAAACAAGAAGTATCAGAAACACTTATTTTTATCTTCTGGACAAAAGGGACAATATTTACCCTCACTTTGAATACTGAAACAAAATTGGAACAAAATAAATTCCTGATTTAAAAATGTTTTCAATAGAACACTTGCATTTTACTGAGACTGTTCATTCTATTTTCCTTATTTATTAGTACTGGTGTTACATGAGCTCCTATTAAACCCTTATGGCTGGCTTGTTGACCTTTAATCTTCTGTATCTGTATTTGTGATGGCGTAAGTGATTGTTCACCATATTGTTCCACAGTCCCTTGGCCAGCTCCTCGTGACCCTTTATGGTGAAGTGGAAGCAGTCGTGAGTGAAAAAGGTCATATCAATTTTCCCGTTCTGCTTGGAGAGAAAAAAACAAACACTTTGCAGATTTACTAATGGAGTGGGCTGTGGGTGAGGCGTGACTTTTCAGCCTTGTACTAGCAGAGCCAAAGGCGGCAGCTGTCACACAAGGGATCCTAGTGACTCAGTCTGATATGCTCAAAGTTTCACACTGATTCAACTCCCGAAAGCCGGCACTTGTGCCACATTGATACGAATGTAAAAGGCTTCTGCAGAGACACAGAAAGAGAGAGGGGAGGGAGAGAGAGGAAGGGTGATAGATTACCGGGAGGCGAGGGGGGTCTGCGTGTTTCAGAAAGGGCTGGAGAACAACAGCAAAATCTCTCTTGAAGAAACGATCACTGTATAGCAGCTCCTCAAGTCTTCTCTGCACGTGAGAGCAATATTTAAACAACGCATTTACTTCACTGCGAGCAAAAAAAAATAAAAAAAAACATGGACCCAATTTGATTTAGATTTTTGACACTCTCTGGACATTTACGCCTGATATAATTATAAATCGCCTACTGGAAAATACTTTACATGTGCTTTTCAGTTATCTAATTATTGATTGATAATCTGAGCAGCAAAAGCAGAAGTCAGACTGTAAACAGATATATACAAATATGTGTGGCTGGTTGTTTGTTTCTACCAGTCTTCCACAGCTTGGAAGGACACATATGAAAACAATCTGAATAAATCAGTCCTTTCTGGAGGGGTAAAGATTTAAGCTCTGTTCAAAGATTAATAGTGGAAGCTGGATTCAGACTTATCCTCTGGTGTAAATAACTCCACCAATAGAAATGAAAGCCACCTGAAACTCCAGATTGACCTCCACCAGCTCCTGCAGTTCAGGAGATTTAGCCACGGGCTCTATCAGGCATGAGCAGAAAGATCTGAAGCAAACAAAAAAATATGTAAACCGGCAGAGATTCAAGATAGTTTGGATGTGGTCATGCAGAGGACTTTCACACTCATTCGGATGTTGATACTGCACACACACTGGATCACCTCTGGAGGAGACACCCCGGGGTGGGCTTCCGAACCTCTCTTAGAGTGTGCATGGGTAGAATCTGAACCACATTTACGATCATTCGGGGGACCTACAGAATGGAGATCCACAATGTGGTGAATTTTAGCCACATGACAATCCTTTACTGCATAACTTTTTTCTTTTTACCTCATTCATAAGCATTTCCAGGGAAACAGTCATATAGTGAATGAAATTATCCACTGAAAAAAGAGCCTGGAAGGAACACGAAAACTCATCAGTTCAGAAAGGGGGAAGAAAGCTTTTGTCGGCCCACACAAAAGAGCTGAAGGCTGACCTTATCTTTGCAGTAATCACAGATGTCATTCATGCCCATGAGAATGGTCAGGAGTTTCCAGTCCTCCTCGAAGTTCAGACCCTGAAGAAACACAGAAAACAGAGGCTATAAAAAAAAAAGACAGCCCTATTTTCCATGACTGTACTCTTCAGAAGCACTGCTGCACCTCGTAAGCTCTCAGTGTGTCAATCAAGTGTCTGGTCTGGCCGGGAAGGTTGCTGAAAAAGAACAGCATCTGTCAAGAATACATCCCACCTCAACAGAAAATCACACAGTGCGATTTCTTTGCCGGCCTGAAAGCTAAACAAAATCTCGACTGTGAGGGATCCCCCTCCAATTAGAAAGATGATTAGATCTTACAAGGTGTTGTGTCCAGTCACGGCCAGATTGAAGCCCGTTTCAGTAATATGGGCCTGCATCCCATGAATAGTCTTTCCAGGGGCAGCACCGAGCACATTTGGGTTGAATAACTTGATGATATCTGAAACGAAAATGCAAAGGGCTTAAATTTGACGTGTATGCAATGGTTACGTCCAGATGTTTAGCCATTGTCAGCCTCTTACTTGCCAAAGTTATGACATCTTGAAATGTCCCATAGCCCCCGATACTTTAATCAGAGAGAAAAGCAAAAGCATATCATATGAAGATGTCCATTGAGTAAACTCCTAAACTTATCAACAGACTTGCTTGTCGTTCTGTGGGACTTCTCATACCTCCATGACACATGTCGAAACTCAATAGGTATGCCAAGAACAGTGGTGGCATTTGCCCCTATGGCTGTCTGTAAAAGGAGGGTCTGATTAAAGCAGATCACTTTGATTGACCTCAATGCATTTCTGACACTCGCCCTTATGTTTAGTGTCACAAAGATATCAACACATAACAACCAATAGAAATGACTATAATGACCGGCATTAGAAGGAAGCATTTATCTCAGAAATTTCCATTCTAAATGGGTTCTAGTTAAAATGCAGGAAAATCCTACACCTACTGTTAGAGAATCCCCCAAAGCAGCGATGACTTTAATGTCAGCTGCTTTCACAAATTCAACTGAAACAAATGAAAGGAAACAAGTGTGAAAGAGAGTCAGTTTAATCCATCCAGTTTATGGACATGTGAATTTGGGTTGTTTGTTGGAAGCTGGACACACCTGAATAGGGGACCGAGTGGGAAGGCCTCATGTCAGGGCACTGGAACTCAGGGTGTTTGAAGTTAACAGGCCGAGTCTTTTCTGGAAACTCCTAAACAGGTAATGAGAGAGGAAGCCTTCACATAACACGATTGTTTAAATTCCCTTTTCTCTGAGCTAATTTTCTCTTAAAACTGCCCGCCTCCCTTCTCAGACTAAACCAGTTCAATACAGTGTGTTTTTGCTTTGTCGACTGCGAAATTACTCATTTTGCTTGAAGTTTTGAGTGTGCGCATCGTGCTTGTTCTGCACATTGTCTGGATGCCAGCTGTATGTGGTGTGGTCATTTGTCACCACATGGTGACCCTCTTTTCAGTATTCAGAGGGTTAACTGCTGGTTATTCAGAAAAGTTTGGGCTGTTCATGTGCGTCCTTTCGATCAGTCTGTCAATTAAGGCCCATTTAAACATCTATCCCAATGTTTCCGCCCTCTCGACAACAACTTTAAAGAAAGAAAACCAGGGGCACACTACCTTATTGAGGGCCTCCTTGCTGTAGTGTCGAATCCCCTCCTCATACTCTCGCAGCCAGTCACTGCCTTTGAATATGGATCATATTCAAAACTTTCAATTGGTATTTTTGATTGGCCATATAAAGATAAATTTAACGCTCACCTTTAGAAAGTTAGACCAGTCCGTTTTATTTCTACTTTATATACTTTCAAATTATTAAATTGCAGAACACTCTAAAAATGTTTTTTAAAGGCTGTTTCAGCAAATAGAGAGTCCCTCTGCTTGTTCTAGCACTTACCTTTGACAGAGCAGGACGCAAGCACACATGTTGCCACGGCGATGCAAAGCCACTCCATAGTAGTGCGTGTGGACCAGTCAATAGGTCACCCCCGCAGAGTGCACAATGTGATGCTGGGTTTGTACAGCTCTGTCATCTGTCTCATACCCCACCAAAAGCTGAGTGACAACGCGCAGCTCCAATAAGAGCCATCCGGACTGTTTTTCCACAGCTGAAACGGAAAACCACAACTCCACGAAAATCCTCAGTGATTTCAAGTTAGTCATTGACTTTTCCCTCTTTTTTTCATTTCTGTTATATCAAAGATTCAAAACAATAGTTGAAGATCCATATATTGTTTATTAATTTTGTTATAAACCTGTATTCGGGATGGTAAAAATGCAGTCTTAATCTTGGTCTGACGGTTAGCTGTCCTTGAATCAATGTATAAATCTGGGGAAAAGGCTCATATAATCCTGCATACAACACCTTTTCTTCTCATTGCTCATTGATACACTTCATGCAGACTTTGGCAGTGACTTTGGAACTTTTACAACGAGCCCGTAGTTGGAAACGAACAAAACATTTCGGAGAACTGTTTCAAGCTTCTTTTGACAAACACTAAAATGGCCCAACCATGGCTTGATTTTATTTTCTATTTCAGACTGCGATTAGCAGCCATCTGAGCCAAAAAGTGTGGGCAGAACTCCAATTCTGCCTTTTGGTGAGGGGGTGGACTTTTTCACAAAAGCTCAAGTTGAGATAAATCAATTTTACATATCTTCAAGACTGCTCTAAGCTCTGCCTCAGTTAAGAGGAGAAAAACTACAGAGTTTTGTTCCAAAAAACAATTCAGTCTGAAATCAAGATTGATGATGAAAGTATTAGCAAAAAAGAAGGCTCCTCTTGGTTTACTGTATGCCATTTTAGCTCACCTGCTCCTTTTATATCAGTTTCTGAATGCCTGTTCACTGTGGTATCAGCACCCTCAAATAAAAATTAAAAAAAAATTCTGGAATAGGACAAGATTTTGGTGCCGGTTTTTGACTGACTTCAGTTGTGTTAACAACTGTACAAACATCCACCTGCTCACAGAGAACTTGTTATCATCCAGTTCCCGTCTTTCTGCTTTTCAAAATCCAAGTGCCCAACATAAATTCCGCTTCTTGGCTGATGAAAGCACATCTTTAGTGTGTCACAGAACTTTGACTGATGCTGAATGGAGTAAAGGTAAGCAACAGGTACTGTCCAACATGTCTACTAGACATAAAATAAATGAATGAAAAACTGCATAAAAAATTAATGCAAATTATTCACTTTTGAAAAAGTGTCTGCACTGAAAGTCTGCCAAGGATCCGAGACCACATGCAGAATCTTGACTGTCTTCATCAACTAGATAAGAGCTAGAAAAATTAAATTACTTCAATTCACATTGTGCCTCATTTTTTCTTATAAATACTGCAGTAAATTAAGAATCAAGCAGTTGAACTCAGTATAATTTTTCCCCAAACAAACACGCACACAAAAAAATAGAGGGGTGGGTGGGGGCAAGGAGTAACAAGGGGTGACGAGAAACAAATGCACAAATCAAGATTCCACCCTTCTAATTGGAGGAGTCTAAAACGCCTTTGATCTGTCAACTACAAGAGCAATTCCCTGGAGGAGACGCAGGGGCTTCCGTCAGTGTCCTGAGCCGCAGACTAACTGGTCCCAAGCCTGCATTCTCCTCTCCAAACAGCTCTGTGTCTTTAACAGTTTTCATCACCTTCCAAATGAAGAAAGGCATTTGTAAGACTGAACGGTTCTGCAGCCAGACAGAGTTTTTCTAATATGTGAGAGGAGCAAGCAGGGTGTGAGAGATGCTTGGAGTTGCAGGTTTCCAACGCAGCACCAGCTGCCTCGTGCAGAGGGGCTAGCAGAGCCACTTGTCTGTCTTTTACAGCCCTCCCCCCGATCTGGGCTCCCCCTCACTGCTGCTCCTCCTCCTCCTGGGCGGGCTCCCGGGCCGGTGTTTCTTCCTGAGCCTCAGGCTCGGTCTGGGCGAGTGGCTCCTCCTGAGCTGGTACGGGTGGAGGCGCAGGGGTGGGGGCAGGTGGGCGAGGGGGCACAATGATTTGGAGCTGGCGTTGCCGGTAAGCGATGACTGTACACAGCAGCAGGGAGATGACGGTCATGAGGTAGAGGTCCCACTCTGGGCCCAGAAGCTGGTCCAGGTCTACCTGAGTAACCAGCTCCTTCAGCTGACGGGAGTCAAGGACACTTGTGATTAACAAAACTATTCTCTCCGAGTAGCTTATATAGAAAGGTTAAAATACAGAATAACATTTTTTTTAGAACTTATGTTTGAGAACCTGTTAGGGGGCCGTGCTTACATTGAGGTCCTGCAGGTACTGTAAAGTGTAAACCAGACCAAGCTTGCACAGGGCAAGGAAAACTGGAACCTGAGCATCAGGGCTGGCTTCTGCAGCCATATCGTAGAAACGCTTGGCTAAATGAATGTCCTGCAAGAAACAAAGGAATTACAAACCGCAAATAATTAGACCCAACATATAAACTACACCTACACACATTTAGAAAATAGGGTGTCTCAGAGAAAAATAAGAGACCCAGTCTTCCACACTCACCTGTTTGATACCCAGGCCTTTCTCATGCATGTAGCCCAAGTTGAACATGGCCTGAGCACCATTCTGCTGCTCTGAAGCCAGTCTGTAGTGAATGACAGCCGTCTCATAGTCCACATCTGTTCCGTATCCATAGAAGTGATAGTCTCCCAATTTTATCCTTGCCACAGTGTAACCTTTAGATGACAAAATATGTGAGGTCGGGTCTTGTCTGGGTGTGAGACTGTAATTGCACACATTTACATGACAACAATTTGTTCTTAGTACATTAGTACATCATCTCAGATCCTACCATAAATGCAGCCAAATCTTAACTGGGCTGGACCAGGACACCAATTTCTCAGATGGATCTTGGACTCACCTTGTGCCGCAGCTCGTGTCCAGTGGAGAAGAGCACGAGGGTAGGTCTCATTCTCGCTGAAGATCTTTGCTCCTTCTGTTTGTCATGAGCCACAAAGACAGAAGGATCATGTGAGATAACAGTAAGTGATGCATACGAACTCATTCTTCAAAGTTTTGCAGTCTTCTCTTTGAGACCCAACATCTATTTTCTTACTCTGATCCAGAATGAAGGCGACATTGCTCTGAGCCACCTCGTAGCCCTGCTCTGCCAGCAGCAGATACTGCACCAGAGCGGCGTCGGTATCCCCCTCTTTAAAGCTGCTGTAGGCCGTCATCAGACGCTCAGACCAGCGGCCGCGCTCACACACATTCTTAAAAAGCTAAAAACAAGTTGGAGACAACAATGTTGGGACTGAAAAGGCTCTTAAGGTTTGGAAACATTGTCTTAGATTACAATTTGCAATAAAAATGGGACCTGTCCAGTGTAAATCACGTGATCACCCTATTATGTCCTCATTTCAATGCAATAAATAGAAAGAAAAAAAAAAGAATGAGTGGCTCACCTCCACTGCTGTGTGGCAGGAGCGCATCACACCTGTACCGGTAGCATGCATCTGAGCCAGGTTGTAAAAAGCCAGGATGTGGCCAGCTTGTGAGGCTAGGTTGAAGAATTTAAGTGCCTGTTTATAATCCCGTTTCACACCAATGCCATCTGGGGAACGAGAGGAAGAGGGACAAAAATGCGATTATGTGAAGAGACACAGTAATAAACAACATATATGCTGTGAGAATGAAGTTACACACAGCCCCAAAGACTCACTGTAATACATGGTGCCCAGCTGGAGCTGTCCATCAACCCAGCCCTGCTCTGCTGCCTTCTGGAAGTATTTCAGTGCCAGCTCATAATTCTTAAGACAAAAAAAAAGTTAGATAAATTCTCCAAAAACAGCATGACTGAAAGCTTTTTGTATACTGTGACAAAAATAAATAAATACATTTTTAAAAATTTTAAAGCTGAATCAGCTTAATATGAATATGAGTACTTATTTGAAAATCTGAAGCTCCTGTTTATCTAAGCAAACAAAAGATATGAAGAATATTCAAAATGTTTAAGAAAATGCAAATACAAATTTAAAAGGTCCAATACCACAGGAACACCCCTTCCATACAGGTAAGCCATGCCCAGGCCGCTCTGTCCTACTGGATTCCCCTGGACAGAAATTGAAATAAATCATCTAAAAACAATCTTTTGAAAATAACTTTAAAAAGAAATTCTTCCAAAAGGAAATGCAATGATATATATCAGAATAAATCCCCCAGCAAAAATTTGTCTTCCATATCAGACTTACCAAATCAGAGGCTTTTTTAAAGTACTGCAAGGCCGTCTCATTGTTCTGAGGGAGATAATCGCTCCCCTCTGAATACATCTGAGGGGCAGAAATTCCCAAAGATAAGCAACAAGCCAAAAATACAAATACATCTAATTAGATAAAGCTTGAGAAACATATGTTTGAGAGAAAACTGAGGTTTTGAACAATAACCCTCCTTTTCCCCACCTTTCCAAGGAAAGCCATAGCATGCGTGTTCCCTGCATTTGCCGCCTGGGTGAAGTAGTCGTACGCCCTCTGTTGGACAGTAGGCAGCACAAACACATGAAGCACTGTGACAGCCTCAGGACAAGAACAAAAAGAGCACAGGGTAGGCGTTACCTGGTGATTCTGTTCAACTCCACGTCCTCCGTGAAGGTGAAGCTGACCCAGACCCACCTGACAGAAACAAGGGAGAGTTCACTTCAACGTTTAGTTCAGAAGAAAAACTAATCATCTCAAACAGAAAATGTGGCACACATTTTAATATACAGAGTAAACTCAGTTCATTCTTATATAATTCTCCTCAGCGGGATGAAGCTGTACAATGAAGTCTGTTTGGCTTGTTGGAGTGGTATCATAATGCGCTATATATTCAGGATTCCTGGAATCCCCGTTGAAGCTATTCTATCCATCTTTGGATTTCTCCTGATACTGGCATTGACAGATTATGAAAAAGAAAAAAAAATGCTTACTTGGGCTTGTACGTCTCCTTTTTCAGCCAGAAACTGGTAGTACTGGATGAGGTCCTCTTCCAACATGCCACTGGTTGAGCCCGGGTTCTCCACCTCATCCAACAGTCTGATCCTCTGCACAGCAGAGCCTCCAGTTAGGGACACATCACTGGCCACTGGATGTGATGAAGAACATAACGCAGACATGAAATGGATCAGGACCTTTTTTTTTTTTTTTTTACTGGTTATTTGCTTCTGGGAACGTTGCAACCAAACATAACAAAAGCACGTAACCCTTACCGTGATTTGCTACTAGTCTATAGTGTGTTAGTGCTGACTCGCAGCTTTGGGGAACACCAACACCTCCCCAGTACCTGTATCCCTACATTTTAAAAAAAGAAGAAAAGAAATGAAGAAAGGTAATTTTTTCTATGCTGGGAAAATAAACTGTCTGTCAGGGAAACTATTTCATCAACAAGTTAACCCACCAGAATCATATGAGCAACCAAGTTTCCACCCAGTGCACCAAATGTGTAGTAAACTAAAGCCTGTAGATCAGAGAACATTAAGAAAAAGTGCATAGAATCATGATGAACAAATGAATGAATTTAGAGCATGGCATAACTTGAAAGTGAAAACACAAAATACCTTTGCTTGACTCGAGTTGACTCCAAGCCCTGCTGCATACAGAAAGCCAAGAGCCTAAAGGAAAAGAAGAATGTCAAATTGCTGCCTTTCAACACACAACTAATCTGCATATTTAAATAAATGTCAGCTCACAAGGCCTTCTAAAATTTTTCTTATGTAACATATTGAGATTTTAAGGGAGACCCTTACCATCTGAGCTTTTGGTGAGCCCTCCACGGCAAGTTTCTCAAACATTTCTTTCGCCTTTGTGACATTTTGGCTTATGTAGTCTCCAAACAGCATGGCGTATGCAACCTTCTCTATGGCTTTCTGGTGGCCTTTCTCCGCTACCTTCCGGAGCTTTTCATATAACCTGAAGGAGTGACAGGAGCAGCACAGAGGAAGATGATTTACAAGTTATAAAATGACAAAGTGGGTCCTGACATCTGAAGCAAATGAGGATCAGTGTAATAAAATGGTAATAAGATGGAGTTACAAAATGTAGTTATCTACATCTAACATCATATCAGATATATTCTGAGGTGAACTAAATGGAATGTAAAAGATTAGTGTATGATTATGAAAAAAACAAAAAACAATCCGTCGTTAGAGACTCACTCTTTTTTCTGCGTCTTTCTGGTGGTGGAATTCAGCATGCGGAGGATGATCTGATACTGCTCTTCAGCCTCCTCAGCCTGTAATCTCTGCTGTGCCTGCTCCTCCGCTGAGGGAAGAGCAACCAACCCAAAAAAAAGAATGTCTTTAGGAAGTAAAGGTTTCAGGATACTAGCAAATGTTGCTAGTTAAAGAAAATCTGGAGACAATGCAACAGATTGTATTTATGTTGGTTTTCATCCCCACTGTCGAGTTTTACAAATTTTATGAATTACTGAAAGAATGTGTCTGTGTGTGTTCATGTCTCTTATTTCCATTTGACGACTAGTTCGACTTTTTAACTAATGAAATTTAGTTTCCATGATGACGGGATTAATGTTGCATTTGCCTTGGGCAAGTGCTTACTTTAATGAAACCAATACCAGGTTTAAAACTTACTCTCACAGAAACCCCATCTCTTATCCTGATCATAGTCATAGGTTGTAGCGCACCACAGCCGACCATCCCCCCGCCCGTCAGTGGTACAGTCTGAGTATTCCCTTCCCTGGAATAAGAATGGGAAGAGGCAGGGCTCTCCGTGGGCTGTACCTCCGTTCACCACAGGAACTAAAAGACAAATAAAACATTAAAAAGTCAACTTACAATACATCTTTATTGTCATACAAGACAGCACCAGTCTGAGGAGCCAGCAGGAACATTGCACATGATCCCCGAGTGACATGATGTAACTGACTGCAAGAGAAGCCACAGGTGTAAGACACAGTTAATCTCTCATGAGGTTTAAATGTTAACCCAGTGAAACCCCACAGCACTGAAACCCCGTGAGCCTGGTCTCCGAGTTAGCAAAAGAGAAAGCTGGTTAACACCAAGAATCAACTGAGATTACAGCGTCAGAGAAGAAAGTTATTATTAAAGATAAAGTGAAAACCTGGCAACCGATGAGTCAGTAAAGCACTCGGCACTATTCCTGCAAACGATTGCCAGTTCTAAAAGTAGCGTTCATATATTTGCAACGTTGGACAACATGTTCTTCAAATAAATGTCTAAAATTTCCAGTCATTTAACACACAGAAATATTTTAATTTCTATGAATCGCACACTTAAACTTTCTCATCGAAACATCTAAAATGACTTCTTATCAGCAACTTTAAAGAAGGACCAAAGCACCAAGTGAATTAACCAGTTTTGTAAAGCGCATCCTGGTGAGTTTCAGTTCTGCAGCTTCTTAATGTGAAGCACCACCACAAATGCAGAAACAGTGGCAGTCAATCTCTAATTTATCCAAGTTCATTATGAAATTGTTGAATATCAAGTTTGGTTTTTGTTTATTTGTAATGTTGTATTGCTTAGGACAAATCTAAAATATATTAAACGTTTGTACTCACTCTCTTTTGCTTTCTCCTCAACAGGAGGAGGCTGCTCAGGGAGGTCCTCCTTCTCCTCTCCTTCCAGAGGTGACTGTTCCTCTTCTTCTTCTTCCTGGGAGAGTTTGTGGTGATGAGTCACTGAGGCACCAGCCACAATTTCTGGTGTAACACGAGCATCTTCCTCCTCGGCTTCAGGATCATGATAGGACTGCAAACAAACAAGGGTTTATTGTAAAGAAATAGTAGATCGAGAGAACTCGCATTGTAGTTTATACTAAAAATAGGCGATTTCACAATGGTTGCAAAACTTTGAGTAACTTACTTTCAATACTGACATGTAATGCACTTTTGCTTACAGACTTTGCAAGCCTGGATGAAAGTCAGACTTCAATCATTTTGCCACTTTAAATAAAATAACTCAAGCAGTTCCCAATTACCCATCACTATCTTTTCTTGTAAGACACTATGATTCAAATTATATAGAAAATCATTGAGTTTGTTGTTAAACTTGAATGCAAATAGGAAACCAAATAACAATGTCAGCAAAAGGGTGTAACAAGTACTCCGTTTGTCTTCTACTTTTATTAATAGTGTGTGGCGCACCTTTAACTCCGGTCCGTTGTCCTGATGTTGCTCTTCGTCTGTAAAAAGACAACAATAATACTACAGTATTAAAGACACAGCAGACTCGAAGTGATCACAGATCTTGACCACGTTGGGATAGATGCTGTCATGTCCAGCTATCATGTAGTAAAATGACAACGACATTTTGCGCCTACCTGCTGCCAATCCTTTGTGGAAGACTATGAAGAAAATAGCTATAAGATAGAGGACTCTTGACGTCTTCAAACCTTTCTTACAGCTCATTGTTGTTGTTTCCAAGCTAACCATTTGCTAGCTGCAGCTGGTTCTATTTCTATCTCCACACATTAAGTTAGAGTCGAGTCACACTACGAAAAGTAGCATAAATAAACTCACACACACCAACCTGACCAAACCGAGCAAAAGTCACCCTGGACACTAACGTGGTTAATTTTCGTAATTGTACCTGTAAAATAAGCTAACAAATTCCAGTGCAAAGCTAAGCTAGCAGTGTTGAACAGCTGAAATGACGTAAAGCTAACAAGCTAGTTTTACACAACCAGAACAAAATTTAAATGCTACGTAATATCTACCAAAGTAGGAATTTCTTAGTCTGAAAGACACAATTTCCAAGTAACTACCGATATGTTTAGACGTATAGTTCAAAGGACGAGAGGCAGACGATGTAGATTTTCATGTTATAATATCTACTCACTACTTAACGTAGGTAACCATGTTAAGCTCTCACTACAGATAGACACTTCCTCCTCCAGCATTTGCACCAATCAGAGCGTGCTCAATGTGACAGACACCAATGAGTGTGGACCAAATATCCTTCAGCGAATCAGATGCATACACAATTATATTTGCAGTTGATGGGCTTGTCCACGACACCAAAACATACAAAAAAAAGAAAAAAAGATGACAGTGATATGCAAGGCAGCGGGGGTTTTTTCATGTCGGTTATACTGTTACGTCAACAAATGAAAAGCACTTCCTTGCAGAAGGCACAGTTTGCAAACATGCCGGATACTATGATATATTCATTCAATGAATTCTTTACTAATAGAACTTGCGTTGTACAAGTGAAACATAGTTTGAGTTTATTAATTGTGGATTTCTTACATACATTGGGTAAGTTCTGGGGATATTATTATATCTGATCATGTGATTGTAATGACAGTCTTATACTGTACAAGCTCTCCCATAGCTAAGCTTTACTATTTTCGTTTAAAGATTATTTGGCATGGCAGGCCTTTAGGAACACAGGGAGATGATGGCATAACATGCCTCAAAGTGCTGAACATGTTTGGGCTTGAACCTGGGCCAGATGCAATTAAGAGGAATTCATGATGGCTGCATGGTTCAGTGACTCCAGAAAAAAATAATGATGACGGCTTCTAAAAATGCTCTTTGAATCCAGGAAACATATTGCCTGGAGATATACAGTAATTTACTTTTCCTATCAAGATGAAGATTTTTTTGTTTCCAGGTAGAGGTTGAGGTTCCCTGTACTGATCGATACTATATGATTGTTTTAAAATACTATATTCATATTGCTTGAGACTTCACATACTTCTATATGAAGAGGTGTCTCAGTTGTGTTTATGTTGTATCTGACCATTTTGTGCTGGCTCAAGCCCTGTTTATTTATGTTTGAATGATTACAGCAAAATTACAAAGAAATGTCATTAAAATGTCACATTTTAAATGTAAAACTCAACAGAAGCACATTTTTACTCTGTGTAAACTCCATCTAGGCTTGTCTGCATAAATAAACAACTTTAGGAAGATCTGGTAATTAATTACTGCATGTTTATTTACAGGCAGTTTTAGTGGTTACTTAACAGGCAGCCAGACAAATAAATCATTATTGGAAAAAAAAAAAATCACAGTAAATAAAACAAGAAGAATAGGAAATGACAGTGGCTGTTCAAAATACAATTTCAATGTCAGAAATAAAATAAAAAATTGTAGTTTACAAAGCTTTTCAAAAGAGAAAATTGTGAAGTTGAACTTTTTTACGGCAGATGACATATTCAACAAGCTTTTGAGATTTAACAATAAAGAATCCCGTTTATTCAGGGAAAACGGTATGAGCTGCAAAGACAAAATGCAGATTTCCTTCAATAAAATCATTTTGGGGAGAAAGAAATGAAAGACATAAATGCCAAGAATTCATGTTAAAATCATTCTCAATTCTCAAATACGCATGATATATATATATATATATATATATATATATATGTGTGTGTATTCACCTTTAAGGGCTTTTCAAAGAAATATGTACAGATTGATCTATGTGATTGACTGGGATTAAATATTTGTTATTCTCCATTGCACAACAACTATATTTTAATGCCTTTCAAGAAACAATAAAGTGATTAAATGCAATAAATCACAGTTTTAAAACAAGGGGAGTTTTCCACCAGTCTATAGTGATGAAAAAAATCATTTTTAAAAAGTGGTTTTCTTTAACCTGACAACCAAGCTGTACTTAAGGCTCAAAATTCCAATGAGCAAAATTGTTTGCATCGTACAGATCCTGTTGATTTTGCACACATTTAGTTAATTCTGCAAAGTGCTAGTCGGACATAAAACAGCATTGTATCAATCAAAGATTTTAAAACCTTCTTTTGGAGCACTTGCATTTTTCTATAAGCTTTATGGACTCAGTAATTGTTAGTGTGCTACACATGAAACATTCCACATGCGTCTATCTTCAGCAGAGAGCAAAGAAAGTCAGTTGTCTTGTCATCTCAGCAGGACACAGCATGGGAGATTTGGAGCAGAAGATCCAGATGCACTTGAAGGGAGATTATCGTTGTACAGTTTTGATGATCCATTCCGCGGCTGGGTTCAGCTGTAAGAGGTCTTTCATGTAGGTTTCCCCATCCAGGCATCTCTCCTCTTGGAGAACATTTAGAGCAGGTAAAGAAAAGACAGACATTAATCAGATTCTCATCATGCGCTGCAGGTACCATGACTAACAGTCGATTTGTTTTTTTTTAGAAGGGAGGACTTACTGATGTTTCCACCCATCTCATAGAGACTCAAGTCTTCTTTTTTTAGCCCCAGGGAACTGCAAGAGAACGAAGAAAAAGAGCAGGGTAGAAAACAGACAGCGAGAGAGTCAGCCACAGACGAGTCTTATTACCAAGGCATACTTTACGCGAATAAGTGTAGACATTACCTGTCCTGGCTGAGGAAGCGTGTTAGTATATCATCAGCTTGCAACTCTTCAGTAAGCTGAACCGCCATGGAAACTTTAGTAAACTGGGGTGCTTGGACTCTAATAAGTCCCTGTGAATTCTCCTAGTTGTAAACACATGCATGAAGACCCAGAGAGGTGAGAAAAACCGTCAGTAGCACAAGTATGAACACTTCAGTCAAATGAGGTCATCTTCCTTAACACTGTCATCAATACACACTCAAACTGAAAACAAGACTTAGCTTGAGAGATTTGAATCAGTTACAGCTTGTCTGTTTAATAAACTCAAGCCGCTGTGAGGAATCACAGCGCTGAGGTCAAGTTACTGTAGCTATACCATTCACCAACAATCTGTCAAGAGGAACAGATCTGTTTCAGGATGCTGACTCAGACTATAAGTTGCTTTTCCAGTAATACAGACAGGAATTAACCAAATTACACCCACTCACACACCTGAGAGGACAACTGGTAGACCTCTAATCAAATGACTGTCCTGTTTGAAAGACAACAATCATGTGGGTGAATCATGTAATCTATCTAAAAAATCTGTTTCAGGACAGTGGCAATGTTTAAAAATAGAACATATATACTGTATATACTTACACAACACCACTAGATGTCACTTTTCCTCAACAGACTGAACTATCTAATTAAAAAAAAAAACCTATGGGTAAGGACTTGCTGCAGTTGGGCTGAGGCCATACAAATTTTCACTGATTTACTGAAAATTACAGCTTTTTTTTTTTTTTTTTACACCTACACTATCTTTTAACATTTCTTGAAACATTTCTTGAATCAAGGTATCTTACTTCAGAAATAGGTTTATCAGCTGGTTTGTCCGTGGTAATTTTCTTCAGCAGCTTGCGTACGGCTCTCTCTTTGTTTTGTTTGCGATGACTTTCCATGTTTTGCTGTCTGACCTGGGTCAGAATGAACTTGGGGATCTAGATGACAGACCCAGCACAGAAATACTGAGCACACACTGCACCATTCACCATTTTCCCTGGTTAAAAACCATCATAGTTTAGCGAGTGACTGGGATTTTTTCAATGGCTAATATTTTAAGGTAAAAGCACTTTCTCTTTTCTTACTGTCCACAGAAGTTTCTGGTATCTAATCAGCAGCCGGACAATGTTGGCAGTGCTGGTTGCCATGGAGAACTCCTGCTGCTCTGTGACCTTGGAACGAAAACCTTTGAACATGAAGATGTTGGGCGCCATGACAACAGAGACGTTGTTCAGAGTCATCTTATTTTTGGCCTGATGGTCAATCACACGCTGGAAGAACTCCACCAGTGCCTGCAAACAGAATTACAGTTAAAGCAAAAAGTCACTTTACTGGGGACTGATTTACCGATGGGAAAGTGTGCCATGTATCAAAGGACTGCGTGTGCAGCTACCTTCAAAGTGTCTCTATTGGCCTCAGGTAACAAAAGGACAAGCAGGTTCAGAGCCTGTAGCTGCTGTTTCTTTGTGGGAAGCTCTGTCATGTCACAAGGAAAAACAGAGTAAGAGCTGAGCTCACCATCCCATAATGTTTCTGTAATCTCAAACATAAAACCCTAATGTCTGCTCATTTACATACTGTTAACAGCAATAAATGCATTGAGGTACTCCACAGTAAGCAGTGGATGGGGCAGCTCCCTGATGAACAGCTTCAAAAGGCTAGCAGCATCATGCTGCTTCACCTGTTGCCATGGAAACATCCCTTCATAGAAAGAGGTCTCAAGCTCCTGGCACAGGGTCTGAAAGTGGAGCAGATTTCAGCGTGGTTCAGGGGTTGTTGTCAGCTGATCCATTTGACTGTTTGCGTTTGGGGGATATACCTTGACTCTAGTGGCAGCTCCAGGGATCCGAAGCAATCCCTCTGTGTCTAATCCCTCTTCCTCGATATGATTAATGAGCTGTGAGGATCAGAGGCGTACACTTAGGTCAAGGGAAAATCAACAAGGAAAGAGGTTAGAGATACAAGTTGTTGAGAGTGGTAGTGTAGGCCTATTTGGTGTCATACACCTCAAGTTAATAAAGGTCCATCTATTCAGCACACTGCTTAATTTGGGTCACATGAGAAGATTTCCCTTCATCAGCACTGGAACTTTGCATCGTCAGCAGCTGCTGTGCTTACCCTCTGCAGTATAAATGGCACTTTGGTACCAGTGGCCCGTCTCTGGTCCTGATCCAATAAGGTGGGAAGAGGAACACCAAACAGACCAATTTCTGCAAACAAACAAGCACCAAGATGTCTTCACATACTTTGATAAATTAATGAGCTTTTTAGTATTTAGCATATTTGGTTCATTAACCCGTGAAAAAAGCCTTTCTTCTAACTTTCTTTAGCCTTTCTTTTCCTTACCTACCTTTGGTTTTAACTTTGACAGCTTTGTGCTCCTTAAGGTCGATTCCAACCGTGTCAAACAAGGCAGTCATTTCTACGAGCACGAGCCTTCGCACCTGGTCACATTCAGCCAAAAAATGTAGACAAAATTGCATCAAATAGCGAGTAGCTTTGAGAACAAAGCCACTTCTCCCTTACACTGTAGGTTTGCAGCATCGTAATAGGCAAACTTGCATCTAAAGATTTGTTACAGCATTTTACCTTTTTCATATCCAGAGGTGACAGATCCCCAACTCTGGTTTGACCTGTTTTATCTCGAAGGAGCTTAAAGTTCTAAAGAGGGAATTGAACAAAAAAGAGCAGAAGACTATCAGTGATAGTGTGAGAAAACAGTACAACAATGTTCTACACTAGACTTTCCACGTTTGAAATAAACTATGCATAATGTGAGAGACAGAAAAGGCTCTGTTATACCACCTTATGCCACTGGATGTCAATACAGTTCATCAGTTTTCCAGAGACACATGAGGTACAGTTGAGAGTTTTGTTTAATACAGATATTTTCATCGTATACCATGAATATTTGTACCAAACCACCTAGCTAAAGTCTGTAATCACAGGCTGTAAATCAAAATTTCAGAGCTGTAATATAAACTCATCCTGAATATAAAGCAAAAAGAGATGAGAAAACACAAACAATGCCATTTCATTTATTGCTCCATATCTCTCTACAATTACCAAGTCAGAAACTCAAAACAGCTTTCAAACGAGTTTGCATGGCAACATATAAAATCGGTGCATGGGGTTAATAAACACCTGTTTATTGTTTCCTGCACATGCACAGACATGTTCAAAGTGTACAGCATGCATAATGCGTGAACAAAGTGCGTGACTCACTGGTAGCTTGTCGTCCGGTGAATGAGAGCCGGAGGTGACCTTTAACCTTTGATGGTCGTCCCTGTAAGAGAGCGCCTGCTCTGAAAACGCCACTTCTACGTCCAGTTCTGTCTCTGCTTCTGGGGAGACAAACGTAGCAAAGAAAATATGGCACCACAGGTCGGCAATTCAGCTGATTCTATGCTGGCAAAAGATGTGTTTTACTCTAGTTTTGTCCCATGCTGTATTAGTCACAACAGCAGAAAAGGAAGTCAGAGGAGACTGTTAAGTTTTCTTCTCCTTGAACCAATCCGTTGGTGAATGAACCCACATTTTTAGGCTTTACCCAATTTCTCTTTGCGGAAGCCTGCATTTTTTTCTGAGATTTTATGACAAACAGCAATTTTTCAGAAACTTTTTTTCAGTGTTATTTCATTTGCTGTATCTCTCACTGTATGAGACTGAAGTGATGCTTTTTTTCACCCCAACCTGCACATGTGAGGGTTTTCGAACACGTGGTGTTAGACATTCCCCATGCTGACTCGTAGTTAACTGGTTTGCACGTACCGGCCGTGGACACATCTTTTTGCCTCTTCTCGCTTCCTTCTTTGAGGTTGTGAGGTTCTTCAATCTGTAATGACTACAACAAAACATTGAGAAATAACCATACAGCACAAAACGTTTAATAAGTCACACATTTACAGAATACTGTGTTAAATATTATCTCGTCTTTTAATTAGTGGCCAAAAAGGTGTGTTTACGCTCAACACTCTTTCCTCATGGAGTGTGAACAGACATTATTACACTTAAAACTACCAAAAACATTTAAAAAAACATCTAATTTATTGAAAATCTAGTTAAGCAATGAAACACATTTACAGGAGGTGATTTTGACGAGATGAGATTGGAACATAGCAGTGTGATTTCAAGCTTAGTAACAGGCTCCTGAGCGAAAACTGTTACTGAGGTAGACACAAAGTTCTGGCCACTTCCTTTAGGAGGTAGGAAAAAAAGGGAAGTGTTGAAGTTGTTGTTTAGGGATGTTACATTTATGTAAATGATAGAAAAGACTACTGTATATCGAATATATATCCCCTTAAATAATCGCCTAATTTCACCATATTCTGTGACAGAGTGCGATCAAAACTAAACTGTGTAAAAAAAAAACTGTGAAAATACACCTGCTTAATTAAATTTGGGGGTGGCGGGTGGGAGCACGCTCTTTCACATCACTGATGGAGAATATAGCTCCTTATCACTTTATAAAATCATGTCAGAAGACACATCTTGTCTTCAGAGAAAATATGTAACAACTTCAGAGAAGTCACATTTTCGCGCCATGTGAAGCAAGAGCAGTTTGCCAGGAAGTGGTGTAGTTGCACTATCTCTAAACCGTTCAGAGAATTCAATGTGAATAAAAATGTAAAAAAACACATCGACACGTGCACTCAGGCCAGTGTGCTATGTTAAACTCTACATTCCTAAATTGTATTTATCTTTTGTAAAAGTAAACAGATCTGTTCACAGATCTTTTTTTTTTTTTTTTGCTTTGGATTGACCACCCATCCATCCAATATCTATGCCGCTTATTCCCACTAGGGTTATTCGTGATAACGAAGGCAATAACTAAAGGGATGAGTTTGTGTTCATCTGCACACCTTTTCAGGAGGTTTGAATATGTCTCGAACGTCAGGCAGGTGTTGTCGGTTGCGGCGGCGTAGCGTCTGCTGCAGTGATGTCACCCGGCGCTCTACAGCAGCCGCTTGCGCTCGGGTGAGGGTGGATAGGATCACGGCGCTGTCTTCTTCCTATCAATCAATTGGGATCACACATGAGGCAATCCATTTTTGAAAATCTTTTGAAGCGTCATGCAAATAAACAGAAGAGATCAACACCTGGTCCTGGTCGTCAGCTGCCAATGAATCATTGACCAGACGCGATAGCCCCGCCTTTGCAAGCCACGCCTCCTCATGCGCGCCCTCTGAAAGAAGCAAAGTTAAGAAGATGGTTAGTAGCTTCATAGGTTGCTGCTGAGATGGTGGACCACTAAGTTCCAGTTGGTGATATGAAAGAAAGGTAAAAACTGTGCAAATATTTTTAAAAAGGAACTTAGCAAAATGGGGCTGTTTAGAAACTTAACGTAATTCTTCAGATGCAGTAAGGGGAAAAATGAGTAGGGGACCACATGCAGGAGTGGACACAAAGATCATACAGGAAGAGGATGTTTACTCCAGAGAACAATAGTCTTTTACAGACATGCTGAGCATAACTTTTTACAACAACTGCATTCTTAATGTACAATGCAGTGACGGCAGCTGGCACGGGCCTGAGTTCACTGTGAGAGAAACTCTGCATTTATATCGTGCAAAATAAAGAGTCTCAGACCAAATCCAAAATGTCTGAATAACAGCTCTGTGGGTTTAGTCTCATCCGCCAGTCTTTTCTGTGATAGACAAACAAGCATTCAGCCCCGTCGTGTTTACAAAGAAGAGATGGATTGCAAAAACACAAGTGTCATGCCCAAATAGCTTTTCGTCATCCTCAGCTACAGTGGACGTGTTTGTAGAGTCTATGCTCTGCCTCACGAGTGACATGAACAGCAGGTAATAGAGGCACTGTCTATATATACTGGGTACAGATAATAGCCACCTTCAGGAGTTCTCTGCTGCTCCTCTTCTTGAGATTCTCCTTCCCCTCTGCCTGCTCCTCCTCCTTCACTGTTGATGTTCTCCACTTCCTTCCAGTAGTCGTCCATTTCCAGGTCATCCAGAGAGTCCTGCAAGATGTTTGGCGTTCATCCAGCAGCAGTTTCAGGCCCTCTTTGCTGATTTTTATGTCCTGTTCCTCATTTTGTGTTCATTGGTATTTTCCATGCAAAAATGCTGAGATGGCATGACGCCATGAGATAACGGTCAATAATGCTCACAGCCTGTTAGGACAAGTCTCACATGCAACTAGTTTTCTGCGCGGTTGCTCTCAGCTACAATCCACAAACAGAGCTAGACAGATTTTTCAGACATCCTCTAAAATTAAGATAAACCCATTTGTTTGTTCCTGCTCTTCTTGAGGCCAGGTCAGAAAAGTTCAACGGGAGCGTGAATTGACATCGCTCAGGTTAACTCCCTGATCACAAAAAAGAATCTGGTCACAAGTGAGGTACAAACCTTACCTCATCTCATCCATCAGAGCCTACCTGAGAATTGCTGCGCAAAGATGTGGGCGGTGGCCTGGATTTTAAATTGGGGCTGTGCCTGGGGCTGGACTCCGCTTGGGGGCTGGAGGAAGGCGGAGACCTGGAGCAAGCAGTGGAGTTCGAATTGGGTAGAGACGACAGGTCCACGCTGCTGGTTTTTCTGTGTCCATGGTGAGAGCTCTGACCCTGCTGAACAGTGTAGTGGCCAGTCCTGCGGCTGACAACGAGACACAAAAGTAGGTCAATCAGACAGGTGAAAAAGATAGAAATTAGATGGTGTAGCGTTTGTCAACGGTGTGAAGAGTTCAAACAACTTTTAGAATAGATGTTCAGGTCATAAAGTAACACTTATTACATTAGATTTCCTGGATTTATATAGATAATTACAGCCCAAGAGTTGTCCATGCCATAAAAGGCTTTTAATAGCATAACCAGTGGGGGATGACACAAGTATGAGAGTGAGTCAGACAGCCACAAGTTGGCAAAAGGCTCTAACTAAAGACAAGCCAGCAGCATGTTGAATTCCCAGGCAGTCGGCTAATGAGGGGAACATCTGTTGAGACTTAGAATAGCAGCTCTTTGGCAAATTGAACTTCAATTGGCGAGATAAACATATGCAACACAGTTCATTACGATGTATCAGAGCAGTTTCATACAGCAGAGACCAAGCGATCAGCGAGGAATGACATCATTCAGGAAGTGTAATAGTTTAAGTATATTTTCCTCAGTCCATATGACAGTAAAAACATAATAAATATGAGTTGCGTAACTTAGAGTAGCTGTCTACAGCTCTGTACTGCGACGGCCACATTTCAATAAGCTTCTGGTGAGCTGTCGCTTTCAGCAACCCTCTCCATCCAGTTGTGGATCAGCAGTGTAATCTCACACATCTCAACACGCCGTCAAAAAGAAAAACACACATATCTGTAAATTTGTCACCCAAACTGTGACATGCCTGAATAGGCCAGTCACAGAAACAGCTAAAATGTAACATATCACTATGACTCAAGTTCTTACAAGCCAAGCTCAAATCAAAGTATCTTTATATCAAACATTGTTCATATTAAGCTTTAAGGACAGGCCTGTAGTCTGGTATTTTTAAGAAAAAGTATTCATGCTGATCAGGCAAGGCATTCAGCATTCATAGACCTAAAGGGGAAGATCTGTGGTATTCATATAGACATAACCATTTATGTAAATAATAGAGATAAATGTAGATAAATACATATATGTATGAATGTTTTACACAAACAAAAATAGTTTGGAATATCAGGCTGGAATAAAAAAAACAATGGTACAAACTGATCCAAAGCAACCGTTATGTGATGTAATGGAACAATCGTCAGCTTTGACCTGACACACTTTATTCATTAATTTGGAATGATCAGATCTGCACTGTGACCCATCAGCATTAAGCAGTGAAGTCACATACCAAAGCCGACTTGCTGCCACATTCATAAACACACACACCGAGTACATGCTGACAGAGCAATAAAAACACTGGTTGAAACACACTTTGACCAGTCCTCACAGCACAACCAGATTACTCCCACTCCTCTTGTTTTAGTATCTGTCTGATTCTCCTCTCTTCCAGTGTCACAAAGCATTCCAGTTACCACTCTTGGCTTGGCACTTAGTTTTAAATTCTTTCTCTTTACATTCACGTTGGCTCTTTCTCTCCTCACGATAGGTTTCTTTAAGCTCTGGGAAGCATACACTCCTCCTCTGATCAGAGCTCTGGAAACTTGAACCACTGCAATGGTTTCACTTCTGTGGAATTTCAAAAATGTTCCTGTCTGACAGATTTACTTAAAATAAGCTCAAAGACACTCATTCCATGATGAGTTAATAATTCACATCCCCTAAGAGCTGAAGAACAGAAAATTACTTGACTAAACTATAAATCAGCACACAGTGCTGGATGAGAGGGGTATGTGTGTATGCTACACAAACCAGCAAGTTTGAATCCTAATGGACTCATAGGAGTAAAGTTCAGCAAATGACGACAGTACATGACTCACTCCTCTCTTTGGACAAGGAATCTGTTTCTTCAGCTTTCATAATGACTCAGTAATTAAATGATGCGTTGGGTGTTACAGCTCAGATCATTAAAGAAATAGCTTTCTGACTAACAAAAACCTACACATGTAATGCAGCCATTGTTCTAAAACGGGTCTGGACATCCATCCATCCTTTATCGTAACTGCTTATTCCCTACTGGGGTTGTGGGGAGACAGGAGCCTAACCCAGCAGTCAATGGGCAGGAGGGGGGGTACACCCTGGATGGTCCATCGCAGGGCCACAAATAAATAATACACAATACTAGAAAATATAATGTTACAGTATTTTGTAAATGCAAAATAGAGCACTATAAAAGTGGTCGCCACCATTTAACGGTTTGTCTGTTTTATATATTCTGGTTTCCTTGCTTTTAATTGGAAATTGGAACTCTTTGAACTTTCATCTATGGACCTTTTATCAGCTGCTTAGAGCTACCGACAAAGATAGAAGGTGTGAGGTCCACGTGTGTGTGTGTGTGTGTGTGTGAATGGAAAACACATTTTAAGAATAAATCCAGCACAGCAGGCAGTAAACAGGAACAGAGGAAACAACATCACCTAGCAAAGAGTAAGTAAAGCATAGAGGAGCTGAGTATGAGTCCACTTCTGAGGAAGTGGATGATTTGAGCTCGCGTGAGCTGTTTGTTTGTGAGCGCTCACAGAGTATCACACCAGTGCCAAAAGCACAAATTTTCACAGCAATATTTATGAGCAGCATAGCTTTACATCCAAAAATGGAAGCACTGAAACGATTGCTGAGGAGGGATATCATAACATTTTATCTCACTATTCTTATTCCTCATCCAATTTGCTCAATTTCAGAGGGAAATATGACTGAAGTATGATTTTTACTCTCATACAAATATTTCCATACCGATTGTTATTTATAGACTGATTATTATTTTGACTTTGATGACATCTGAGACACACTTTTACGTGCTGGGATGAAAGACCTTAGCGTAAAGCTTTTTCTGGGAACTGTGCTTCACTGCTGAAGAGGGAGGGAAGAAAGACGGAGGTGAGGATGGACACTTTTTTTCTACAGCTTAGTACAAAGAAAACAACAATAGGTCCACTCAGAAATATAAACCACTGCAAGAAAAAAAAAAAAGGGGGATGGGGGTCGGGGATTGAGAAGTGCCTGTGTGTGTGGTATTTCCATTCAGGTCAACAGATGCCAGCTGGCCCCTGTGAAGACAGTAGCTGTCCCTGTTCCTCCTCTCACAGTTGCTGGTCTCAACAACAATGCCCCACTGGTTGAACACATCATCAGCCCTTTTTTTCCTTATGAATCAACACTGCATGGTACGCTGTTGTCTGCTGGGTTACTCCTGCTGTTGGCTGCCCCCCTGTTTGTCTTCAGTGGGTTTCACTCGACTGACAGTTCTGTTCAGTCCTGTTGGCTCTAAAAGGCCCCCAATTAAAATGAGTGAGCTTGCTCAGTTTTGTAAGAGCCATCTTTTAATTATGTTAAGAAGCAAATACGTGGAAAATAAATATCACTCCTCGGACCTTCTGAACCTTTTTTTCCGTTTGAAACCTAAAGATATCGGCGAGCAAGACTCCCAGCAACCATGTAACTCAAGGTTTCTGAGTTCAGATGTCCACTTCTGGTGGGAGGCCAGGCTTACAGGCTGTTAATATGTCTGTGTCTCTCATTTCCTGACGAGAGGGAAACAATGAGCAAAAAACTTAGCTTGCACAAGTCAACCTAGACAGGATGCACACTCTGCTTTTAGAGGTGAGACAAAAGAAGGCTGTAATGTGACGCTTGCCCTTTTTTTCTCCCAGCTAGCAAAACGAGCCATCTGGAACGCATGCAACAGCAACGCATACGCCACATACACCAACACAACGCACACTCGGTGTGCGTCCGAACACTGAGCAAAAAGACTTATTTACCTTTAGCACACTGCAGCTGCCAGTGCTGCACGGACCTCACAGCCAGCTGGGCCTGGACCAACACTCAAGTGCACTATGTCATCAATAAAAGAGTGTAACTAAACAGTGCCCCCCATTTGAGGCAGGTTTGCATTCATCACAGCGCCTGTAACCCAAAACATGGGTGCTCTACACTTTAGAAGAGTCAAACAAGACACAAGACTAAAGAAGTGAATGATTGGAGAAAACTAAACTTTGTTAGAGTTTACTCTGAACTCTCATCAGCAAAACACCTAAATAGGGAAGTTCTTGGATATTGAAGATGGTCTTCCTTTGATTAGTGTAGCTCAAGACAAGAACGATTCTGTTCCAGTTCGATCACTTTGTCCTACAGGTACCGTATGGGGCTGGGCATCATAACATCTAAGGCACTTTTGTTGGGAAGCTGGTATTTCCCTCCCTCATCTGTGCATTTTGCTAAGCTAACTATTCTTTCTGGTGTGGTGTTGCCACAAGATGATGTGACAGCTTCTTTTGTTCACCTCGCAGACCCTCTGTATGCCTCTGACACCTCTGAACAGAAAGATTAAAGTTCATCAGTCAGTTTGGAAGCAAACCACTTCCAAACGTATCCAGTCTATGATTACACAACCCTGGAAGGGCTGTTATTTTATGTGAGAAAAATAAATGAATTTTTAGATCTTCAGCTGTGCAGGGGACTTATTATTTAGCGGAATGATCTTATGTAACAAAGCCAAGGTGAACCTGCCGATTAGAAAGGAGGTAAGACAAATCAGAACCCAAGGCCACCCCCAGACAATAACACACAGATGTGTGCCTAATACTGGGTAGTAGCTCCCCTTCTAGACACGTTTTTTTTCCCATTTTGATGAGTGGGTTAAGTTCAGTTTTGCTATGCCAGCAGTCCCACAGCTCCTGTTCAAAAGTGAGGAAAAGGCCACGATCACTGTGACCTTTGCCCACTGGCTCATAAACACCCACACACGCGCTCGCACACACTCGTTCAGTTTCCACTGCCCGGCGCTCAAGTGTGATCTTTGTTTTTTTTTAAGGTGACATTCCACGCACACACAGCTCCACACTTCCCACCTGGGCACGGCGGGCTCGTGCTCCGGCACCGGCGGACAGCTGGGGGCACACGGCCCCGTTTGCGGCAACAGTTCCGCGTTGCTGTGGTAACCCGTTAAAACCACTCCCTGAGACTGCTGCTGTCGGCTCATGTTTCTCCTCCTTTTCGTTCTTCTCTTTCACTCACTGCTGACATCCGAACGCCAATCGATAGGCAGCGTGTCGGCCCACCGGCGTGCCTCTCTAGACTTCTATCTGCGGGGCTGTTTCCATCGCTCAACTGTTTAGCTACCGACTCATTCTGGCATCAGTCTCCTCCTCGTCCCCCTCCGTTTCTCTTCCTCCCGTTCTCGTCTTTCTCTTCAAGTTGACCGAGCACTGAGCAGGACAGGGGCTGGGTTACAGGCGCCCTGCGCAGCCCAGGGATTGGCCGAAACCGCAGGTCAAAGTTTCGAAGCTCACAGCGCCCTCAGCCGTTAAAACGGTACCGACTATTTGCTGGCGCGGCCACCCTCCTACCAAAGCTGCAAAATGAGAGACAGAGTCTTAACTTGAGTTTCTAACTGAGCAGATAGGGCCATTTTGCGCATTCCAGCTCAATGCATTGCTTTATCAAAGTCTTACTGTCCATTAATAATAGTAAATATATATATATCACATGGATTTAAAAGATAGCCTGACAGTCGTTGACACCAATTCTGCACTGAGACTGAGACTTCCTGTAGTGGAGGGAGGAAAGTTACAGCATGCAAATGGAACATGTCTTTATTTGGGCATACTATGGCACAACATTTGAATATAATATGGCAGAAATATGATTTAAGCATGAGTATACTTACCCCTCTGGGCAGACATTGCCATTCAAATAGTAATTTCATAGCAAGTGAAGACTTTGATGAGAGATTGCTTTCCCAAAACAAAGTAATATTCAATGATGAATTTATAGAAGACGAACACGGATGGACGACGACACAGGAATAGGCTACATTGTCTGGATAGGTTTAGGCAAGTCCATTTAAGGGATCTCAAAGATGGAGCCGACACTGAACAAGAGAATGTTAAAAGAACAAGTTGTTATGGAAGGTACATTAGTGGAATGTGCTGCTGAGGCCACATCAGCTGTCTGAGCCGCATTTTAACAAAAAGTGACAACAGCAAAGGTTGGAAGCCCTAATAAACACACATAAACAACAAAACATTTTTTGTTTCTCAACTGACTGAAAGTTTACGAAAAAAATATGAACAAGGTATGGAAAAACGTAAAAATCTTAAAGTGAAACTAAACGGCTATAATACATAGTAATGTGTAGGTCACTTTATCTGTTCAACAAAAGGATGCAGATATGCTATCACTTCCTCACCTGAGATGAAGGTACTCTGCAATTCTGGAGGCCATTGTGTCCGGTTGACCGTCTTTCACAGAGCACGACCTCGTGGCCATGTGCTGGGAGACCAGGGTAAAATTCTCAGACTGATCCTCTGGCATCCCCCCCCACAGTTACCTACAACTCTTGTCTGTCCTCTTTATCCATTTTCACCGGATCCCATTCATGGCTTTCTCCTTTTTTCACGATTTTGGCCACTTACACCTTCCAGTAGAGTTCACGCTGAGTGAACACATCTTTATTGCATATAGTAAATAATTGGACAGCAGGCTTGGAATGCTCCATGAAAAGGAAGTCTGACAACTGTCGTCCAAGGATCAAGATAAATCCAAAAGGAGATTATTCACAGTGGATTTGCTCATTCTCACAGTTAAGGTCCAGTATCTCAGGCATTTACGGCGCCATTCAGCATAAAACAAGCTCCTGTAGTTAGTGTACACACCTCCGCTGTTTACTGGCACACTAAACAACTTGTGCCACTTGAAATCATCTTCGAGTGCACCACCTACCGTTGCTGGAACTTCACCCGGGGTAATTAGGCCAAGTGAAACTAACACTTTGCACTTACTGCGGTGCAAACTCCCCACACCCATCTACAAAGATTAGATTAAATGAGTGCAGTATCGTTTGTCTTGATAAAAAAAATACACATAAATAAGTCCATAAGATGATCCAAGAATAAATCAAAGATCTTTTAATCCTTCTACTCTAATAATTGAGAATTTTAACAAAAAAGTAATTTCCCACAGGTGCTAGTTTAAATTGTCTGATTTTTTCCTCCTTAAATAGAGAACGCAGGAACAGTAAAGTTCTTATCTGAAGAACTACAGTGGTAAACTGCCATTAAACAACCCATCGTAGAATGTTTGTCCATAAAGATTAACTCAAGTAAAAAAAAATGTTCAATTCACCTAAGGAAGTAAAAACGTTCAGACATAAAGAGATTCTAGTAGAGAAACCACTGAGCAATATTATTAAACACTTGCAAAAGAATCATCTTATTCTGAAAGAAGAACACATCAATGCTATCCCTCCAGAACACGAGTAAAGCACCACTTTTAACATTGGTAGCAACCAAAAGAAAACATGCTGTTCAATCTAAAAAAAAAACCTGCTGAACAAAGAACTCATTTGTAATTTTACATCCTGATTTTACACCCTTTTACATTTTTACATCCTACATTTGCCTTTCAGACAAACTGAGGAATCAACAGTCCTTGAACATAATCCCTCACCGCTGTCAGATGGCGACATCTTCACCGGCTGTTTCGGCTCTCTGAACATCTTCGAATACATGTCTTTCTCTTTGTCTAGGCTTTCTTTGTAGCATCTGCAATATCACAACAGCATTAATTAATCTCCCAGCCATCCATTAAGAAGCATTGGTAGATTTCTATGAGCAAAGGGAACAAAAAAGAGCTATTTAATCATACTCCTTTGAAGTTTATCTTCTTACATGGAAACTTTCCTCAGGAGGTTGTTGATGTCACTGTCAAACGGCTTCTTTGCTTGAGCATTTATGAGGCATCCCTGTGCTCTTTCATACTCTTGCAGCTCCAGGTAAGCCTAAGAGAAAAACAAAGAGCTGTTTGTAGCATCCTTTGAGATAGACACATTTAATCTTTTGCGCTTCAGAGCCTGTGAGCATTTTCATCCGACAGCTTACAAACAAAAGCCTGGTCTGACCTGTCCACAGCGGAAAAAAGCCTTTGTGTTGGTGGAGTCTATCCCCAATGCTTTGCTGCCATATTTCAGGGCTTTGTGTGGGCTGTCCAAACGGAGCTCAGTGAGACACAGGTTCAGAAAGAGAGGGAGAAGAGCTGCCTTTATTTTCTCCTTCTCTGCTTCATAATCGGTGTCCCTGTTTTCAAGCAGCATTACTGCCTTTTTTAAACAAGAACAAAAAATTAATTAAAAAATGTGGGTTATATGATGAAAATAAAATGAGAGTATGGTCTCTCAACTCTTAACGTGCACCTGTTTATAGCGATCTTTGGCATTGTCGTATCGGCTCTGGTTGAAGCAGCGGTTGCCAAAGCTGCGAACTGTAGCAACGACTTCCAGAAGCGTGGCGAAAGGGGCAGCGTTCTGCTCCTCCTAAAGGCAAAGCAAGTAGAATATTGCAAATGATGTCCCAAAAGACAGACACAGATCTCTTGCAGCTTTTCTGTTTAGGCAAAACTGGGACGAGTTGTTGGATTTCTGTCAACATGGACATGCATTTTGCTCGCTTGCCCTACCGGACACATTGCTATGAATTCATCCACTTGTCCTGAGTTGAGGAAGTCCAGGATCTGAACCTCATAAAGAACCGTGGCTGCAGAAGGGATGAGCGGAGGACAGCCCATCTCTCCATATGCATACTGGGGCTGGAGCAGGAAACGGGAGAACTCTCCTTTCTTCATGGTCAGCAGGCCGAGCTCCAGTCCAGCTAGAGTCACATCTGGTTGAAGAGCATTTTTAATCACTGGGGGTTTTCAGCCAAGAAGATGCAGAAAATGACTGTTCAGCTTGAAAAAAAGTATTCAGAAATAACTGCTCACCTCTCCCCAACTTCATCATCCGAGGATATTTCATGTTAGTGGTGGATTCAAAGGGTTGGTCTGAATACTCCAGGAATCCAGAGTAATGAACTACAGGGAAAGTTAAAAATGACTGACTTGTTTAACTATATTAAGAAAGTCGAGTGTTAGTGTGGTATTTGCTTTTCTAATACTTATTACTGAAGCATTTTGGGGCACGGGTGGACCCTCTCCTGGCTGGATAACTTCCTTCAGGATTCCTCCATCTCCTAAAATGTCGTCCATCCGCGGCCGGAGCAGTTCATAAGGACTCTGCAATGTTAAGAAACATTGACCCAATTTTAAACTTGTTTTGTAAAGTAATATACCAAATCACTCTCAAGGCACATGATTATTTGAGTTTTCTATTGTTAGCTGCCCACTTTTGCACGGCCTGGACATTTTGGACCAACACGGCCCCGGGCCTCCATTAGTGAGATTAGCTAATGTGGCTAAGCTAACCGCTGCTCGTTGACCCACCTGCGTGCACGATGACAGCCGCTCATCGCTGATTCTTGCTCTCCAGATTCCCGAAGTTGACGCTTTTCCTGACATTTGGTCGGCTGTATAATTGTTTGGGCACAGGAATATAACTAGGTATAACTAGACGCAATTCGTGTTTTCGTTTCCTTTTTTCTTTTTTTAAACATTTGCTCCAATTGTGTTATGGTGTTAGCATGTGGGCTGTCAGGTGACCCATCTGACAAACCAGAATCTGCTGTGGGCATGTTCCCCACGTGTGTTCTCGGTTGACTGACCGATCAACTTCGATTCATAATGTGCACAAACACACAACAACGTTGACAACTATATCCGAAATTTTGTATGTCAATGAAGGACACAAAATGCCAAATGTCTAAAAATGATATTGTTTTGTTGAAGATGACTTCTTATGGATATATGCTACTTTTTACTGGACTTTCGTACAGATAGACAAGGTCAAAAGGCATTTAAATAGGTTACTTCATGTCCATTTTCTTGACCTAAATCTACAATCTCACAATCAGTTTAGAGTCAGCCCCAGAAAACCCTGAGAAAATCCACACAACCACACAAATCTACAAATACTACACTTCAACCCCTTTTTAGTTGTGTGATTGTACACCATCATCCAGGGTAGGATAAAATATAGTAACAACTGCTTATGTGAAAATAATCCCCACAGATTTTTTGGCATATGGTTAAGCATGCAAATAAAAATAATAAGAAAAATTGGAAAAGATAATTTCTTGTTTTAATGTGAGCTGTTTATAGCGGGTTTAACTATGTGAAGAAGAAAACATTTGCACGTTCAACACAAAAGAGATTTTATTACTTTTCCACTTTTTTCCAAATCAGAATGAATTGACAAAGCTGTATATACAAAACTATGAATGTGACATATTTAGATTGTTACAGTGACATAATAAATAAAAAAAATAGGAGGTTTAAATCTTCACCACACAAATAAAAGTCAGTGAATTGCGGGTCATTGCTAGCCGTAAAGAATACAAAACAACACCTAAACTGTACAGAAGAATAAAAAAGATGCTGCTAAGTAGACAAAGTTGGCCATATGTACAATTTTAAGATCTCTCTATCAGCTACTGGACCACATTTTCAAGTATAAACATGAAGTGTGTCAATAGGTTGCTTTACACATGAACTTAGCTGTGAAGTGCAAAGTGAATCAGCATACGTCAGACCTCGGATTAACTGATAAGCCAGTTAAAAGCTTTCCTGGTTTTCCTTAGAAGTGCTGTAGTTCAGCTGGATAGACAAAGTTGCTCCTGAAGAGTTTGTAGGCCAGGAGCTGTCCTCCAAAGATCATCATCACCAAGCCAGAACCTGCAGCAAGGAGTGATACAAACAAGAGCAAGAGCTGAGTCTTATGAGCGTTTTCAAAGGAAAAAGTTAGTTTTGTCAGGTTGTGAGGTAGACAGAAATAAAGAATGGATTTTGTTTGTGTCCACTATGCAAACAGAAATGTAGACATAAGGACACACACAAAGAGGGAAAGGAACAGAAAAGTATGACTCTCACCCAGGGCGATCCACCAGTGCTCCGCTGAAGGGAAGTCTGACATCACTGGCAAAAGATGTTGGGACATTGTGTTTAATATTTTGTGGAAAATACCCTAAAATTACAACCAGTGAGGGTTCTACACATGTTTGAAATACATTATAAGCCGCTCTATGCAGTTACATAACCAGGCCTGCAATCCTATGAGCTGCTCCACTGATACACTTGTGTCTGCATGCTTGTGTTTACCTGCCACAGTCATTGCAACATGCAGCAGTGTGACGGTTATGGCATAATCCCAGACCCACTCCTCCACAATCCAAGCGAATACCAGCCCTCCCAAAACATACGTCACCTCTGTGGAAATGACTCCAACTGTTGGGTAAAAGTAAGAAATACATGAATACAAGTCGCTTTAACGTATCAGCTTACATCTCAGGCTGTTGGCAAAAGACTGTTTGTCTAACCTATGTCTAATGGTTGGACAAAAAATAAGATATTTCAGGTTGTTCAGATGCATTGTTTTTTAAAAGGGGAAATATCTCAATTTGATGTAAGCACGGGCCCTGCAGACAGTAAACATTGCACACACAATATAGATAGATAACACGGCAAAGAAAAGCGTACATCCAAATCATTATCATCGGTAACCTTTTGTATTTTATTTCTTTAATGTTCTGTGTTCGTCATTTTATTATATTTCAGATTATAACTGTTCATCTTTGTATTAGAAATTAATCTGCAAATAGTGTTAACTTTACTTTCAAAGTTTTAGTGACAGACGAGCTGGGCCTTTAAAATACAGTGTATAAATGCATGTTGAATATAGCATTCAGGGAATATGTTTTTTATTAAAAACATTAAAATTGTTAGCATGTCATCCTCCAGTGAATATGTTTGGTTCATTTTCTTTATTGTGACTCACCCAAGTATTTGGGGTTCTGCCATGATGGCTGTGTTGTGTAGTCAAAAGGAGTCAACAAGCTGTTGATCTCATGAACCCTAAAAGATACAAGAAAAAAAAGGGTGCTTCCAAACTGTAAAATTATTTTTTTTTGGCATTCTGTCTGAAGCTGAAAACACAGAGGTTTCCTAACATATGCAGTCACTGTTTGTGGGTTTACCTGAACAGTCCAATGCAAAGACTGACCACGATGTAATAGAGGGAGTAGAAGCACACCATGCACATCAGCAGATTCTGCAGGACGACCTGAGGACAAGGAGGCATGGACCATCAATCTGACAGCTGCTTTTATCCATATACAAATGAGGAACATTCCACATGGAAAATGTATGGTATCTTGCTCAAGAATAATAACATGAGGAGCTTGGAGTTTAACCAGATTGAAGAAAACCATGATAAATGATACAACCACAGATATGAAAAGATTTTTTCCAGAATTTACCTTGTTTGAAAAAGTTATATGATGACCCTAAGGAGGGCGGAATGAATGAGTCAATTAACCAAGAACAACCCTTAAAAGATAAATGAAATTCCGTGCCTTCAGTCTCTTAAAAAATGACTATGACTATCTGGTGGCAATTATTTGCACAAACAAGACGATAACAAAGCTACAGGGGAAAGCAGTGAGTAAACATCAAGCCTGCAGTTCTACTCCATCAAACAGATAGAAGTCCTCCTGACAGCAGCCAGTCAACGAACGCTCGCCAAAGCCTTTTGCAGACAACCCCATGCTGCCTCTTTAGGGAAGTAAAAGTACAACTCCCCAGCAGGAAAGATAAGCCAAGCTCTTTCTCTTACCGCCAACTTTTCAACTTGTCAATCTCAAGTGTAACTAATCACTTTCCTGGTAAGCTTTCCAGGAGTGCCAGAGCAGACTAGCTTATTTGCATACCTTAATGAAATGGGGGTCATTGTTAATCTTATTATTTACACTTGTGATTTGCTGTTGGGATAGGTCAAAGGATTTCGGTGACACAGACAGTGTAGAGAAAAAATACATTTTTCCACTCCAGAGTCTAAATAAATTAGTAAGTAAGTATGAGACTGAGACGATTATGTATAGCTTGATGTTTGTCTTTAACGCCAGTGGGTTAGTATGGCATAGGGTGAGTTTCTATATGTTAGTGTTGTTACATATTGAACATTTGCATGTGGATATTATCATCATGTTCAAAACACGATGTTGGTATAGCTGATGTCATGGTATTGATGCTGATACTAACCAAACAAATTAAAATAATTATCCATTTACTTTAGGAGTAACAATTTGACTTTTAAATATCCCTTGTTTGTGTGACATTTTTCTGACTTAAATACTGACAACTTTTAATTTGGGGTTTGCAGTATTTCAGACAGTATTTTAATCATAGTCTCTAAATGATTATCGAGGATGATCTGGCTGCAGTTTCAAAGGGCTTCAAGACACCTCCACAGTAGACTATTTGGAATCAATTTCTTCCACTTATCTCCAGCCAGTCAGAAAGGAGTTGGTGAAACCTGGAAGTACCTGAGCTCACACTAATACCATCAGAGACAGCTAAGACCTTTGGCTAACTTGTTTGTTTGCTATCTACAGGCAAAGCAGGCTGTGCTTCAAAAAATGACCTGTAAACCAGCTTTGAAGCTTTAAATCTTGTTACGTGAAGAGACATTTCCTCAGAACTATTACAAATGACTACAGCTTTATTATTTCAAAGACATCATGATATAACGTGCTTAACTTATTTTTGATTGAGTGCAATGATCATTTATAATTGAAATCACATTTAAGAACTCAATGATTTGTCTGTTTATCAAACTGCATGGAGTAGTCTGTCATGTTATGATGATTATTCTCAGTGTTGCAGTTGCAGACTCATTGTAAGAAGCTTTGTTAGCAATATTTGTATGCATGTTTTGTTAATACAATTAATGTACCAAAAGATAAACTAAAATAAAAACTTTTTATGACGATATACACTACACCAGTTAGTCCTGTGAACATATCTGTTTCCAGATATGTACCTCCTTTGTTCATGGTTTACTTCTGTTCTACAGTGCTATAGTAGCATTCTGGGGTCCTTACCAAGGTATCACTGGGTGCAGTCTTGAGGGAGAAGGGTCCATGGCGTTTTATAAGTGTGAATCCACAGCAACGACAGCAGTAGTCCAACAACATGAATGGTTGCTGGTCTAAATGGGAGAAAGTAGTCTACATGTGTGCCTTTGAGTGTGTGTGAGAGCATATTGGAGGCAAGCAAGAAGGGTTGGATTAGGCTATATGGGATTACTACTAAGAAGTTGGAGTAAATCCCACAAAGGAAAAAGGTGAACACACTGTAGAAGAGATTAGCACACATAGACATATCCCAGAGTAAGGAGGCTAGTTTGTACACTTAAATCTTCAGGAAGTGTCACATACACTAATTTAGGTTCAGACTGACTATGGTACTATATATTTTTTAATTCTTCACTTCATTTAATATAGTCATTTTAAAATCCATGGCCTATTTCAATTCTTAAAAATAACAATGATAAATGACAGAAAGGAATAAAAACAATTATAACATTTTTAATTCGATATCGCAAGTACCAGTGTAACCGGAAGATGTATTCCTAAAATAAAAACTAACATGTTATATATAAACTGGTCATTGACAATAATTTTGCAGGTGTCACTGAATCTTGATTTTGCTCTTATTTCAAATCTTCAGATCAAGTTTAAGCCCTGTTTTTGACGGCTCATCCTCCAAGACATCAGGAAAGATGTGAGTGCATCATTAGTCAGGCAGTGCGTCACATGACCACTGGGTGGCAGCATAGCTTCAAAGCACCGGAGAGGATAATCCAATCAAACTTGAGAGAAAGAGAAAATATGAGCCATATGCACAGCACTGGCAGCAACTAATACGTTTCTGACCTTTCAGAGGTACATAGGATTGTTTTTCCATCATTTTAATTTAAACTAAAATAGTGGATGAAGTTAAAAAGAGTCAGTTTATAAGTGAGAAACAAGGCTGTCTGCTGCTGCAATGATCTGCTGGAGACCATAGAAAATGAAAAGAGAAAAATCATTTAAGAGTGCAGTATTAAAAGCAACCCTTCCTCAATGCACCACCATCCCCAGAAATAGCTTAAAAGAACTCAACTCTTCTACGTCACAACATGCGTATGTTGATGTCAGTGGGAAAGCAAATGCACGTGCGCCTTTGTGTGAGTGTAAGGTTGACTTGGCTGCCACGGTAACCTGCATCATTGTATCCATGGTGACAGAGCAGGGGAGGTGGGGGTTCATGAGGAGTGAGGAACGCGTCATAACTAAGCATCTCTCTGTGTGTATGTCATTATTCTGAAGCTCACAGGAAACCAATCAAATGGATCTCCAGAGCTCTGCGTGATGCTTTTATTAAGATTAAAAAACAGGGCATAGAAACAGCATGTATAGACGTTTACATTGGGGTTAAATTGTTTCCATTATCCAATATGTTCATCCTTTCTTTATTAACATAATTTCTTAGTCATTATGACAGCTGGGGTAAAGGAGCATAATCATAAAGAATGGCATTTAAAAACTGCATAAATTCTAGTAATCATATACATCTAGCAATCTGGCTGGGAAAAAAAAACTGGAGTCAGACCCACTTCTGGCCAGACATCAAGACATAATCTCCTCACATTTGAGTCGCGACTTACAGCTGTTAATATCTCCTTTTCTCAATTTCTTTCCAAAATTAAAACCAAAAAGCTCAAATCTAACAAACAACTTTATTTATGGACGGTAAAAGCACACACAGCCAGCAGCTGGGAATTTGATGGCAGTGAGAAGATTGATGGCATGTCTTCTTTAAGACAGGTAAACACAGCTGGCCCAGCTCTGTTTTCAGATCAACAAAATGCATCAGGCTCATTAATGAACACATTCTATCTTGTTTGCACCCATCAGTAAAAAAATAATTGGTATTGACTTTATAATTACTGTGATATCTGTCAGGGGGTGTGATATATTAGACAGCAACTGGGAAAAATTTGCAAGGACAAGTTCTGAGTGACAAAATGCAATATGGCAAGACTCACTGAGGGCACCCTTTAATAAAAAGGTTTGCAGGCATTAGGATTCACAGATTCATGGATTCCTGTGGAGATTTCAATGGTGCTTCCATATCAGCATCAGCTTCCATAAATATTTACTTCAATCTGTTTTTATCAAGGAAGACTAACCAGGGGCAGGAGTTGTAAATTAGTTGTCGTTAGCAACCTGTATGCACAGCATCTACTTCTATTATGTAGCAATGTTGAATTTATTGGTCCTTACTAAATAAACAAATACATTAAAAAAAAAACTCAAGTGAGCTTTCAAGGTGGTCTTGTAAATGAATATTTCTCAGCCTCGCTACACTGAATCAATATGACAGCTTTGGAAGAATGTTGTCAATTAAATCATCGTAAAGGCCAGCAAAGACAGTGTTCTTCTGTGCATAACAAGCATGGAGCATAAAGGCATTTAGGGGGCACTGCAAGACCCCTATAAATTATGTAGCTGAATACTAAAGCTAAGAACAGAACCTAAAAAGGAAAACGGCATCAGTTGTAGTTACCAAGGAGCACAGAGGGAAAAAGAAAAAAATTGTAACGTTTGTTTGTTTTTTCCATGAGAGAGCTGCTGTATCTTATTGTAAGTACGAGTCCAAAGCCTTTTATCACTTCTAGACTTGATATGAGAGTAGGTATGACAAATGGGCCTGATAAAGAGACAATTGGACAGGGTCTACAGTACATCTACAGTACATGAGGGAATCTAAACTGACTGCTTTGCAACCTGCCAGGGAGAGAGATGAGTAAACTGTGTGCTTACCCATGGCCTGATCTGTTTTTAATTTCTTTCAAAAAGAAAGACGGAGAGATCCTCTTGATGCTCATTGACCCACATGTCAACAGGACATGTCGTAGGAGCAGAGAGGCTGTAATTACCATTCTGTGTGTGTGTGTCTTTGTGTATTCAACGTCACACCAACACAGTGGGATACATCATCATTTGTAAACAACCAACACATCAGAAGCGATGAGGAATGAGTAGCATGCAAACTAAGAGGAAGAAAATCCCAGATAAGGAATAAATCATGAGAGGGAGCCTGGAGCCATGTGTCTGGATGCTTTTCTTTCCTATTCCAGATTTTCAATCAGCAGGTTTTAAACGGCCCTCCAAAATCTCTTCGTAGCATCCACAGCTCTGAATGCCTGCCAGTCAAATTTCTCATTTCAAATTATAACAAAAGCTCAAATCGCAATCCTCCACTTTTTCCAGGCTGCTTTTCACCTGCACCTCCCAAATCCCCTCCCCCACTCCATTTTCCAAATCCCCTCCCCCCTTCACACTAATTACACTTTTACTTTAATTATTTAACCACAGACTCTCGCCCACAGCTGCTTACAATAAGCATAACACAAAATGTCAACTCATTTAGCAAATCTGGGAATCCCATGCAGGCTTGTAAACTAGAAATGCATCAGTTAACAATGTAAGGCTTTGTTTTTGCTCTCCTTTCTCCCACACTCTCCGTGTCCTCCTCTTGTTCTGTTTCTCACTGCCCCTCTACAGTGTGTTTTCATTTCGATCCTTCATGGAATGTAAATACAGAAACACACTGACCACTGCAACAGGGACACGGCTTCAGCGCCGAGCTCAACTGGTCGCTGATGCTGTTGAAGGCGCCACGACATCGGAAAAGCCACAAAGCATGATCAAAAGTATTTAAAGAATCATGCAAGCTTTATTTTTAGAGATAAGAGACCTGAGTATGTGAGTGGCTATGATGGTGGTCACACATGCCAAGGTCACGTTTAAGGAGAAGAATGGAATTTACCAACAAACTGAATTAAAGAGCTAATTTATTGTTGGTCTTTGTGTATGTTCAGCTGTTCCTGAGCTGTTTCAGTTCTCACAAACCCCGTCTCAGACGTGTGTAGCAACAATTTGTCTCTGCCTCACACACATGTGTAGCACTGTGCAAAATCAGCCACTCCTTTCTTTAGATTTCACTTCCAGGGAGCCAAATTTTCTCGTAATCTTTTTAAGTGGTCTGGAGTAATGTTTCTCCAGTCTGACTGAAGGCCTTTTAAAGTTTTCTTTGGACACTGCCTGCTTTTTTAGTCCAGTCCTCGTACTTGACCATTTTCACAGGAAGGTGTTTTTGTTGTCATAAAAGCATAAAACGTGACCTGAGGGGACACGTTTGTCCCAAAATCTTCAACCACTCTTCAACCAAGATCACAGGTTGACAGACCTATTTTTCCAAACAACAATTTTTCCAAAACCTCAGTCTAATCTCAGAATGGTTTGTACTATGTCCCTAATAAATTTGAGGAAACTGGACAAGTGAAGGACAAAAGAATAAGTAGGACATACAAAACAATGGACAATATCTGTTAAGCATGTTCCCAACAAAAAGGGGAAAAGCTTCTCACAGGGCATGTAATGTGCATGTGATCCATCATTTGGCAGTCAATAAAGTCCACCGTATGCCAAATGACACCAGAAATAGAATGAAAAAACAGTGGCAACAGGTCTTGTGGTGGGATGAACCCCACTTACTAAATGTACCTCGCCATTTTTTAAGGTGTGTGGGATAATCTTAGCAAAGAAAGGAACAAAAGGCTGCCAGCGTCCAAAGAAAAGCTTTGGGATGCACTTGGAGAAGTCTGAAGAACTGTTCAGAAGACTCTTTTGAGAAATTACAAGGACGTTCTTTCTAAGGGGTTCATACTGTGCTGAATAGAGGTGGTCACGGTAAATATGGACTTTCAAGCTTGTTATTTGTGTATTGTTTAAAATGATATCACTGCCATGAGGGAGATTTGCATATCATCACACAGTTACAGTTTACCGTGTAAAAATGTTGTCAGATGTCTGTCTTACATTCTCTTCACCTCGCCCAAGCTGGTGGATTTTCATTGATTCACTTCCACCATGTAAACACAGGAAATGACACGCATGCCAACATCTGCAACGTTTTTGCCGCCCTCTCATTCATGCGTCCGTGCGTGTGTCTTTGTCTGGTTAAACAGAAAACAAAAAACTTAAGTTTTCTAACCTCTTGGTATCAGAAATCCCACAGCATCACAACAAAACCGTTTAAACCAAGCTGCATCTGTTGCGAGGGATTAAGAATGTCCTCTACTTTGCTAATCAGAATTGTTTCTGTCCTTCGCACTGTTCTGCTTAACGCCACAAGTTCACCCCTTTCT